AGATGAATTGCTTTCTATTTGGAATAACTGGGCAAGGCGCGTATCTAGACTTCTGGAACTGTTTTTCCGAATTCAGAATCCATTCTGAATCTTACATATTGTTTACGAGAACCAGTTAGACGAAAATAGAATTTTTAATGTCTGCATACGTTTAACCGATTGCTTAAAATTATAAACATACCGCGATATTTCTACCAAATCAATTCGATACTTCATGGAATTGACATAATGGCTTGTGCTATATTGTCAGTCAGCAACATTCATATTGGTGATTCGAAGAATATATTAAGTAAACAAAAAATTAATATATTTAAAATACATTACTTACTTACTTACTTACTTACTTACGCCTCTTACCCCCAATCGAGCATAGGCCGCCCACCAGTTTTCTCCAACCAACTCTCTCCTGGGCTTCTCTCCCCAGTTCTGTCCAATGTTTGTTCATTCCTCTCATATCTTTCTCTATTTCTCGGCGTAATACGTTCCTTGGCCTTCCTCTTTTCCTTTTGCCTTCAGGGTTCCATGTGAGGGCTTGTCTCGTGACGCAGTTAGGTGCTTTTCGCAGTGTGTGTCCTATCCACTTCCACCGCTTCTTCCTGATTCCCTCCTCCACTGGAATCTGGTTTGTTCTCTCCCACAGCACGTTGTTGCTGATGGTGTCTGGTCAACGAATCCGAAGTATTTTGCGTAGACAACTGTTACTGAACACTTGTATCTTCTGGATGATGGATTTGGTAGTTCTCCAAGTTCTCGATCCATACAGTAGAACTGTCTTGACATTTGTATTGAAAATCCTGATTTTGAATTAAAAATACATAGCTAGAGGTTACACTGAATGTCTACTCCTGAGCAACCTGGCTATACCATCGGGATTAAAGATTATGGTTTCATTAATTCCAACCTTCTCCAGTTCCTCAAGTACCATTGTAGGTGGTTCAAATTAATAAATATTTGAATTCAACGACCGTATATTCAGGAACGTGTGGTGGTTTACTTTTAAGAAGAAAACAAAATTGCTGAAATATCAACTTTTATTAATGTACCTAATTCTGACAATAATTGTTATACTGTACACCTCTTTTTTATCTGTACTGAAGACTATCTCTCGAGCGACAAGCGTGTTAATCCCATTCTCCTCTTCGCACGTCTCCTGTGTGGACGTTAGCAGTTTGTAAGCCCTCTTGCATCGATATCATTTCGATATCACGTGGCCAGTACCAAATATACTTCTTCCTCTAGAATCTGTTTCTTTCTTGATTCTTTGAGTCCGTGGAGTAACATTTGTTATCTCGCGAAGTAGTATATCATACGAAACTCTATAAATCTACTATAATCTCTAAATCTAGACGGCTGATGGGGCTTATTAATAAGAACTTCCTGATAAATGAGGCTAAGCTTACACTCTTCAAAAAGTGAGTAATGCTCTCACTTGAATAAAGCCTAATGATTTTGTCAAACATGGCGGACAAGAGACGAGTAGAAAATGTCCAAAGAAACGTCACGTGGAGACTGCTAGCATGGAACCATGTGTTAATATCTTTCACTAGAACCTGTATGGCGCCGTCGGTTAAAAGACAACCCAACACCCCTCTGTAAAATAATATGTAGCCTCTCGTTTGTAGAATTTTCGCTCAATTATGAATCATGAAACGTGCTTACAGATCTAGAAACAACGCGTATACGCTACTAATGGCAAAACACAAAATGTCATTAAGCTATAACTTCTTTGCAAAACAATTCAGCCTATTGTAGAACAGATTATCGATTTCTATCTGTATCTGTGACTCAGTCACCAGGTTCAAGTAACTAGTAATGCTTTTTCTAGAATCTAAAAAGATTCATCAACTAGTTCCAGAACTCACACCGAATCCTGAGGCACTCTTTTATGATCCAACATATATTTAAACTAACCTTGGAAACTAATGACGGACTGTATTTCAATCATCAGTTGTTTAAATTGTTCGATAAATGTATCGGTCATTTTTTATATTTGTAATAATCCGATAACGGTATTGATTATTGTATATTTGTATATTTGGCTTCTTAATACTGACGTCGCACGAATGGGGTTTGCCTAAGTACGATATACGGAAATGAACAGGAAGATTTATTTCATTGCACATTTGATCATTTGTACACAGTGGAGTTTAGTCGTGAATCGCTAAAAGAACATGTATATTTTGCACCCCATCACCATCCATACAGGTATCACGAAATGATAGACAAATTCCCCTACTCCTACTTAGAGTATTAGGTCACGCCTTTGAGGTGCTACCCGTAACATTTGGAGTTATCTTAAAATTCGAACTCACATAATTATCTTCTTATCCTTCATGGCTGTTTTAGTTTTTATTTCTAGTAGAAAGATAAACTCAAAAACCTGAAGATGTTGCTCAACTACCATCGATTACAAGGAACTTAAACTTCATGTATCACTGTGAGTTCCTTCTTGTTAATGTATTGAACGCTTATTTCTCCACTTCATTAACATCCAAACACCTTGCTTTCCCAAATTTTTATCGCTTTAGTCATGAAGTTCTTCAACACTTTTTTTCCTCTCTTCCTTTCCCAAGTTCTCTGTCCCTCCAAACTACCTATTATAGTTGGTAATAACAGCACTTCCATTGGCAGTGTACCATATGCGAAAGTTCAGGAAGAATATCGTATGTCGTACAAACATAAAATTTAGTACTTTTCAGTGGGTACGTTGAGTGCAATTGACTAATACGTTGTCCTTGAAAATCCTGATGCGGAAAATTTCGAGTTTCTTTTTCTGGCGTGTATGAAAAATAATTGACAGTAAATATAAAATTACTCCCGAAAAATGAACCTGCATAGATTCTGTTTCTACTTAAAGGTCACTGAGGAATGAAATCAATTATTTTCCTTTTATAAGTAACCACCTCAGAGTGAAAGAAAGGTGAAGCAGAGAGTTTAAACAACAAGAAACACTGTTAGTACAGAGACCGGATGGAATTGGTGTGATTTCGTGGTATCGAAAAAATACTGAAACATGCAAGAGAATGAAAGACAGCACAGAGCAGCCATACAAGATGGCTACCAGAAAAGATGGGTAGAACGATGACCGTAACATAATGTTCATACATATACAAAAAGAACTAAGGTCATCCCATTTAAACAAAAGTATGAATAAACGAATATCCGACTATGCGTTCACTGGTACAGTCGATTTTAATGATGAATGTTGCTATTTAAAAACTCCTACTTTTCTTCGCAACAATGAATTCAATGCAATATAATGAAACACATCAAACAAATATTGATAAATCCCCACAGAACATTCGAAAACACGACTATTTTCAACAACTCCTTCCTGAGGTACTTCAGTTATAGGTTCATATTTGTTAATTTCTTACCACTGCTAAATCCTGTGAAGTCTAATGACCAAGTTATTAAAAGCAACTGTTGCCTTAAGTGCTGTTTGTTGTTTGTAAATCATCAAGAACATTAGCCGATGGTAAGTTATATGCTTCACATTTTGTTTGCCTCCATCTCTGAAATTATTAATTCACGCTAAGTTCTATCTAAGTTTTCTAATTAACCAAGTTGATCATCATTCTGAAAACTTTAGCAACGAATTGACTACTTCTACAGGCAATGAAATGGAACAGATCTACAGTGGAAATGATGCTTTTCGTAATGTAGTACTAACAGGTAGGACATAGGTGTAGCTACATAACAGAATCACTGAGTCTAGTGGGAAATTTGATGGCAATAGTGTTTAATTTTGTGCATGGATTTATTTGTTCTAATCTCTAAACAATGAAGGTGGATCTAGTGACTGAAGAAGATGATCGAGATTTAGCAAATTAAACCACATTGTCTTCTTTACAGGAACCGCTGAGGGTGACCACCTGCTTAGAAAGTGTTGGAGCTATGATATGCACTAATGGGTTCTTTAAGTGGATACCTTAATGTTTTAGTAAATATCACCGAACATTCAAAAAGTATGAAACGTAGTCCAGTTTGGGACTCTCTCAACAACCTGATTTATTTCTTTTCGTCTTAGGTTACTTAGATTATGCTTTTGATGAAAATAGCTACATATTTACCTATTTCTAAATGCTTATCCTTTACATAATATAAATAATCTAGTTTCTCTTTCCAATAATCAATATGGAGTCCTACAGAACTGAGGCTTAGATAAAATACATTCCATTTATGATCAGTAATTGTTGTAGAGGAATGACCTGATCACGATTTAGGTAAGGTAATCCAGTTGTCAGGTTTAAACACTACGGTATTCCACCTAATGTTTAATATCAGTTGGCAGTGATTTTCACAGCCCATTCCAGACAGTTAGTCGATATGTGTTAATAACTACAAACTTTTTTATGGTACGATTCATAAGATTTATGATAACCATTTGTTCGACAGATGTTTATATTCCCATTTATAAGTAGCAAAGATATTAAACGTCTTACTCAATTCTCATTTAAAGTGTAACAGTTGTCAGACAATTTTGCAAACAGTCATTACATTTCTTAGAAATGTTTGCAAATTTACTCATACTTGACTGGTCATGAAATCTGAGAATAAAAAAAATTAGCGTACAGCAATCCTGAATAGTAATTCTGAAAGTCATTAAGACCTTTCGTGGTTTTATCTAACAAAAATACCCTAACTCAGAGTTTCAAAGATTTAAATATTTAAGTCCTCCGACATTCAGTGGTAATAAATGTTACAATTGTCTTTGAAATAAACACAATGACAGTTTATACTAAACTCCTGTTCAAACACTTTCCAACGCTCCTTTTGTGTAGAGAAAGAATGTGAGATGGGATGGATTAAATGGACTCTTTCAATAATGAAACAATGCATATATCTCGAATTAATTTTCATTAATATAGTAAACACTATCCTATCATTCGCTATCAGTACATCTGCCCATATGACTGATTGTATTAAATGTATCTTAACTTTGATAATACTCAAAAGAATTACTATGTTGAATACAATTTATTGTCTCCATTCATTAGTAATAAGGGTATGGATACCTAAGAATTACATTTTTACAAATGGCTCAACCGACTGAGAATTTTTTATGCTGCTACATAGTGAATCGTTCAATGGAAGTTTTTCATTACTCCTGAAACTAAACTGATCAGATGGCAATAAAAAATAGTGAGTGTTTCCTAAACGATGGCCATATCAGCAAGTTGAATCATATGATCAGAAAATAAAACCAAACCGATCACAAGATTACTTTTTATTCCTCATCCCACTTCGTAGGAAAGATGCCAGTCCTATAGAGTGTTAGTCTGTTCACAATAGGAATGAAAAGTACAGCAAACTGTATCATTTTTTAAAGAAAACAATTGATGGTACACAAAAACAGCTGCTCAGTATTAATAGTACTTTTTACCATGTTTTTCAAAGTTTATTGACTTAATATGATATATTTCTCATATAATTCAATAAAATATCCTCTGGCATCATAATCTGATTTTTACCTATAAGTTACATTTGTATTAAGAATTTTGAGAATGATGTTAATATGTCTTGTATCACTAAGAATACGAACATGCTCAGCTCCAGGTAATATATGATGTTTAATTCCGAGCCAATTTTTGCAGTATTCTAAACTTCGTATACCGACTGTCCCATCTCCGTTACCAGGAATTAATAAAGGTACTTGATCCGGAAAACCATTATAAAATAAACTGGGTGCAGAATAAGCAATTTTTTCGGTAGTGGATAAATTGGAACCGTGAATGCAATGGATATCATCAACACCAGTAGGCATTTCTAATCCATCAACAAGGTTGTGAGTATCTTTCCACATTTGGTAGCCTAGAACCTCATTTCAAACGATTAGTGTAGAAACCGAAATACAAAATTAGAAAAATGTTAGAGATGACTTGTAAAAATTTTTAAAAGTATAAGCATTTTCTATAGTAGCTATTTTTAAAAGAAACGATTTCATACTTAAAAGTAACTTTGTTAAAACTTTTTATAAATACTTATTAGTTGAAAACAGACACAAAAAAGTCTGATTCAGAAGTATAGCATGATAATGTTGATTAGGAAACTCTTCATAATTACCGAAAAACTATAAATTCACTATGGTTTAATTTTAGTTTTTATATGATGTGAAGGTTCAATACTTCGTCCACTCAAAACACTAGGACCGAAATTCCGTCAGTCAGTCAGCTGCAACGTAGAACTTCGTACGTAAGTACATCAGTTCATGTCGCATCACCACATCAGCACAGAGACACAACTGTCGATTCAAATCCCATAGTGGTGGAGATAGTAGAAGTACTACTGGTAAATGAGAAGATAAGGGTCCCAAGATGTTATTGAAGAAGAATAAATCAGTGAGATAAGTTTAGAAAGACAAAGGTAGAGGTATTGACGGATCTAGAAGACTAGGATTTGAGAGAAAGCAAATTGTGGATGCACCTACTCCATTGCAAACGATTTTGAGCCATGTCGTCCAAGGTCTCTAACCATCAGCGACTTTCGTCTCACGGACCCCAACCAGGTAGTCTACATCTACCAAATGACTCAGTCCACTAGTCAGTGACTTCATGCATTTCTGCCATGTTTTGGTCTGGCCACCCCTAGCTTTCTTCCAACCTACTTCTACACTACAAAACAAAGCTCTTCGAGGCAGTCGGTGGTTGGGCATACGCAATACATGTCCCAACCACCTCAACTGATGAAGTTTGATTACTTCATCTATTGATCTGTCATCTTTACCTAGTACTCGTTTCCTAACGACAGCATTGCTTACTCGGTTGTCCCACGATATACGAGCAATGCTTTGAAGACACCTATGATCGAAGACTAGTAACCTACGGAAGTCCTGTACTCTTAACGGCCATGTTTCACAGCCATATAGGAGAACGGAGCGAACTGCTGCACAGTACACTCGTCCTTTGGTTAGCAAACGGATATCACGCCTATGCCATAAGTGACGCAGGTTGGCAATAGCCAATCGAGCTTTCTGTATCCGAGTTGAGATTTCGTCAGTCACCAGGCCATCAGCGCTGATGAGACTCCCCAGATAAGTGAAGCGGTCTACACGTTCGACTACTTCACTCCCTATCACTAGTTCAGGTGCCAATGCAACCCAACCTTGAAGCAACATTTTGCATTTCGAGGTCAGTCAGTCAGATGCAACGTCGAGCTTCGTACGTAAGTACATCAGTTCATGTTGCCATACCACATCAGCGCAGAGATGTAATTGTCAATTCGAGGTTGAGAACCGCATCCCGAACATGCTTGCATTGTTGCTTAGGGTATTCAGAAGACTCTGCATTTTGTCAGCGTCTTCACCAAGTAGGACTATGTCATCGGCATATTCTATGTCAGTAAGCGATTCTCCTGGCAGAAGGTCTACCTCTACAATATGACGAGGATAATGTTATTTCTAGGAGCAGGTCTATGATAAAATTAAACAAGAATGGAGAGAGTGGACAGCCCTGACGGACACCACTTGATGTAGAGAATTCAGATGACAGTTAGCCATAAGCTCTCACTCGACCATTGGTGTTCGAGTAGAAAGCTTATATAAGGTTAATGTACTTCTCTGGTACACCTTTCAATGACAGACACTGCCACAGAACCTCACCATCCACCGAGTCAAATGCCGCTTTTATGTCCAGGAACACAACTATTGTCGGACGTCTAACTGTGTGTCTGTGTTCCAGGACCTGTGGTAGTGTGAAAATGTGGTCTGTACAGCCACGTCCAGGTCTGATAACCAGACTGGTTTTCTCTAGTCTACTCTTCACGAGCTCTAGTTAGGCGTATAAGTATAATCGAGACTAACAATTTAGAAACTATATTAGTTAGACTTATTCCTCTGCCATTGTCACATGAAGACTTTCGTCTTTTCTTATAAATTGGGACAATCAGGGATTGCATCCAGTTCCCAGATTCTGCTTAAGATTTCAGTCAACCTAGCTGCTAAAACTGGACCACCATCCTCAACAATCTCAGGTGTCAGCCTATCAGGACCCGCTGCCCTTCCTCGCTTCAGATTTTCTATCGCTTTCTCAATTTCATAAAGACTGGGAGGAGTTGAATCGATATGCCATTCAGGATGACTGGGGATCGTGGGTAATAATAGTCCCATCCTTTTCCGAGATAGTCTCACTTACAGTCGGATTTCTAATACCGGTTTCCTTTATAAGGTTGTCTACTGTTGCTTATTGCCGCTGCCTTTTCCATCGCTTTTATATTCGCCACCCACAACTGTTCACGGTCGTTGAGTAGGCTTTTTGTCAGCCTGCGCTTGAGATGACTTCGCTCTTCTTCATGTTCAGAGTCAGGTGGGATATGTTTTCGAGCATCCATCAGTTTGGTAGATGCTTTTGAGATCCATGGCTTCTTCCCAGCCTTATGGTTCACCTTGCTAGCAGATATCACTACTGTTTCCACAGCTTTTTTGATATCATTCCAACCTGTCGCAGGATGGGAATCACTTACACGGTCGCCTGTCTTTCTAATTGCTCCTGAAATATATTCTTAGCTATGCTATCATTAGGTAGAGAGAGGTTTTCTGGCGGTGTCTATCATTCGTCCAGTAAGCCTCAAACAAATACGCTCTCGCACTAGAGCATGATATGAAACTAAACATGTGCCCCAGAACGAGCGACAGTCCTCTATCGAACCTCTCCATCGGTGGCTGATGGCAATGTGATCTAGTTGGGTCCAGAGTTGAGACAACTTCGGGGGTCGCCAGGTCAAGAGATGTTTTTCCTTATGCTTAAAGTTAGTTTTCGCTACGAATAGGCGGTTATCTGAGGCATTGTCTGTTCTCTGAGCCGCGACACCATAACATCCACCTAGGTATCTTTCCTTTCCACTGAATCTACCTACTTGAGCATTGAAGTCACCAGCCATGTAAGTGTCCGTATCTTTCTGAGTCTTTACTGTCCCGTTCCGTCGAACAGGGCACAAGCGACTATCTACTGGGATCCAGTCAAGGAGAGATAGTTCTGCCCTACGACTCAATGCTATACCTACACCAGCCAGACCCCGGGCACCAGCATCAAGTCTCCCAGATACACGAATGGTAAATTGAGTTGCTACTTTATCTTGAAATGGTGAGGTTAAGTGAATGACGCTACTCGGATTCTTTATTCGCGTTTCCGAGACGCGACATACATTGACGGCGCGAGATTTTCGAGTCCTGGCTAATGAAGCCTGTTGCCCTGCTTGACACAATGTCTGTACTTTAAAAGCTCCAGCATGTAGACTAGAACGGCGTTTCAGGACACCAGGAATAACTTTTCGTGAACTCTCATCGTTTGCATTACCGGTGCTGCGTGATAAAGGAATGTGACAAGACTTAACTATAGATTATCATGAACTAACTGATTTTCATAACTGCCTTATGTTGCATGTTAATGGCATCTTATATCTCAAGAGCACAAGTAATTCAGTACTCTTTAATAACAAGTTCTCCGTTAGTCGAAATGAAAAATTAGAAAATAATTGGATTTGAAATGCTTAATAAGTCATCAAGCAGGTGCCTAAGGAGTATGATCAGTAGTCATTAGTTTTGCAATTTTAAAATAAATTATCATTAAAACTTCAATCAGATTATAGTAATTCAATTAAGATAGATTGAATCAGGAACATTTTCCACTAAAGTAAAGTAGAAGAATAAAATATCTTTCAGGTACTTTAAATGTTTAATCAATCGACATGAAGACCAACTACAGTCTGCTTGTAAACACAACGAACATATTTTATTTTCTAGCTCCCATTGGCTTTGAAGATTTCAGTAAATTTAGAGTAAATATGTTAATCTACCGTTTTAAATGCACATTCATTATCTACTAAACAGCAATTAACTATATTCCAGTCCGTTTACTGCAAAAAAAAACGAATTAATCTATGCGTTTCAGAAACTCGTATGACAGCGTGTAGTTTAATCCATAAATGATAAAATTATTCCTCAAAAGCATCATAACCAAAATATCAGTCATGCAACACTAAGTAATTTCAAAATCAGTCTTACGATTATGCTATGGTTTATCGAAAAAGGCTGGCTAGTTTCTTATTATTAAGATTCACTAACAGTTAATCAAACTTACGATATTACAATAGACTGCTGCTAAGCTATCATATTATTAAGACCACATAATCTATTTAAAGATGCTATAAATGAGAGGATGCTTAATGATTACTGTCATGTGATTATGCTTTTTCGTATTCCTAAAAATGTAAGCATGATATAATAAGCTACATTTGTTTAACTGACATGAAACGTTCATCGAACAAATAAGGTGTTGCTGAAGAAAGCTTGTAATAGTTAGATAATAGTTAGATAACATACAGTCAGTCAGCAACAATACGGAACTTCATACGTACGTGCATCAGTTCACGTTGCCATACTACATTCGCACACAGAGATGAAATCGACGATTCAAACCCCATAGTGGTAGTAGTGGCAGTAGTAGTATTAGCGGTTACTGAAAAGATTACGGAGCGAAGATATTATTCGATGAATATAATCCAGTGAAACAAATTGAAAGGAGAAAACAAAGTCATGAGGAATTTAGCAGATTAGAATTTGACAGAAGGTAAAGAATGGATGAATCAACGCAATTGCGAACGATTATGAGCCACGTCATTCAAGGTCTGTAACCGTTGGTTACTAATGTCTTGCGAACCCCAACCAGGTAATCTACATCTGCTAACATGGTTAAGTCCAGTTGTCAACGACTTTGTGGTTTTGTACCATGTCTTCTTCTAGCCACTCCTAGCTTAATTTAAGCCTACTCCTACCTCAAACAACATCGCTCGTCGAGGTAACTGGTGGCTGGACACAGGTAACACATGTCCGGATCACCTCAACCGATAAAAATTTGCTACTTCATCCACTGATCTGCCATTCTCACTTAATACCCTTTTCCTAACAACAGCACTGCTTACTCGGTGGTCCCAGGATATTCACAGTCTATCGGTAAGCGAACCCAGAATTATGTCATTATTTTTCCCTATAGATAAAGTTTTCACTTCAGCATGTCTGATCACAATCCAGTTAGTATTTTGTAATTTTTATCTACTTTCAATTATACTAATATAATTTTTGTAGCGTATTATCTACAAATAATCAAAAAATTTCTGTAAATTACCCTCTTCAGAAATGGTTATTTGTTGATAGGTAGTCTTCTACTCATTGTGAAGATTTTTAAGTTACACATTTTTGAAAACCACGAATCGATCAATGTTTGGCCACCATTAGAAACCTGGAAGCACTGGACGGCCGTTTCGTCCTGGTATGGAACTCCTCAGCAGTGCGCACCCACTACTGCTACACCTCACAGGATTCGAACCCAGGACCTTCGGTATTGTGCGCGAACGCCTAACCACGCCTAACCGGTATCTAACGGTGTTAATGTCTAACTTGATCAATTCACGCAGTTGCGCAACCTCGGTAGTTACTGTCTACACCCACACACTCATCTGTTGATATATTTAAAACATTGATAAAAATTTTCCTCCGTTTAACACATACTGTTCAAACATTTTTACTGAAATGCATTTATCTAATGATTTGTAAATGTCATCATTACTAAAACATTAAGAATACGCTGAAGACTTTTAAATTGCTCAGTTGCTCAGTCTTTGAAATAAACCAGTGGCGTAAAGCAATCAGAGGAGAAACATAAACGTGACGAGTTCAAATCTACGGATAAATCGATACTATTTTAACGTTACTTAACAATAACAATTCGTAATTATTTCTGTCGGGGATCTACTTTTTCCTTTGAAAATGTACAACATGTAAAGTTTTTTATTTTGTTTACTGACTGATGTCTAAATTACATGTTGGTTAAGTTCGATAAATAGGACTTTATTTCTACGAATTAAAGTTTCCACGTGTAATGAATGGTAGATATAGAAGAGAGTATTGTTTTGTCGAATTATGAGTAACCAAAATAACTACTAATTTAAGTCAGTAACAAAAGATGAGAGAAAGGATAGTCACATACCGATAGTGTAATTTATATCATTGAAGAAACGTTCATAATCAGCTGAACTATAGTTAGTTGTAGGCGTGATAATAAGTGGCTCCGATGATGGCCATAAACGTGGATCAGGAAATAAGAATGGAAGAGATGGCATAGAACGTTGAACGTGTCGAAAACTTAATGGACTACGTAGAAACACTCCAAAGTTATCACCTGAATTAATGAAGAGAACAAAAGAAGTTGATCATAACCTATTTAAAAACTGTATTAATAATCTGATTGAAAATGTTGTGAATAACCAGAAACATCACAAAACATCATTAATTCATCTCATAAATCATGTCGCTAACAGTCTTTTCACCTCTGTCAAACTATAACATAGATATGAATAAAGTTTAAGAAAATATTTAGATGTTTACTCAGCTAATGTTATGTAATTTATGATATGACACGATAATCAATATAATAAATTATGTTCCACAATGTAAGATTCTTCATCTCTAGTTTTTGCAAGCATAATTTATAGATTAATGTAGAGCGATGTAAAATTTAGCTCGAACAATCTACAATTTATTTAATTCGAGTATAATTGACATATAACGTAAATAATTTTTTTTACCGTAAACTATAACACTGGACTTTGCTCAATGATATTTCAGATTATTTTTTAAATGATCTTTTCGGTAAAGTAAGTCAAAAGTGATCAGACTTAAATTAATCATATCATACAGAAATTTTACGTATAAACAAGCACAGTTTATGAAATATTAGATTTCTTAGCTTATTGATACATATAGAATAATAATAATAATAAGTATACAATTACATACCGGTAAACAAAATTAAAGGTAATGAACTCAGCCAGTATAAAATAAACTGTGCTGTGTCTTTTAACTTGAAATGCTAAGATCGTACGTGAAGAGTTTGCGACCCTGATTAGTGTAAGACATGTAAACGCCCAAAATCATGGTTATTCAGCCTATAAATTCTTGCGACACAAATGGATTTCAGCCTAATTACATAAATTTGCTCATAAAACTCGATGTAGTAACATTAAATCAAATCCACTAGTTATTTCAGTTTCGTTGGTGACGTTAGTAAAGTTTTACTATGAATAAAGAACTATGCATATTTTTGTTTGTTTAAGAATAGAAGCGATTTCCCAAATTTTTCTAAGAAACGAAAGAAAAAGAGAATAGTCCCCAGATGGATAACCAGGCCATACACAGTGATGAGACTCTCGAGATAAGTGAAGCAGTCAAAACGCTCAACTGCTTCACTCCCCATCACCAGTTCACGTGCCGACGCAAGCCAACCCAGAAGCAACATTTTGCATTTCGACGGTGGAAAACTACATTTCGAACATGTTTGCATTTGTAGTCAGAAGACTGTGCATTTCATCATTGTCCTCACCAAGTAGAACCACGTCATCGGCATACTCTAAGTCAATAAGCGAGTCTCCTGGTAGAAAGTATGCTCCTGAAAAGTTTAACGAAGATAATGTAAGCCCTAACAGCATGTCTACGATAAAGTTAAACAGAAATGGAGAGAATGGACAGCCATGACGAACGCTACTTGAAGTAGTGAGTTCTGATGGCAGTTCAACATAGCTCTAGCTCGACCAGTGGTGTCCGAGTAGAATCTGTATAAGGTTAATGTACTTCTTTGGAACATCTTTCAATGACAGAGAATGCTATAGAACCTCACTATCAACAGACTCGAATACCGTTTTACGGTCGAGAAATACTACTATTCTGTGGCGTCTGAACGTGTGTCTTTGTTCTGAGACCTGATGTAGTGTGAAAATGCGGTCTATACATCGATGTCCAGGTCTGAAACCAGCCTCTTTTTCTCGAGGCTGCTCTTCACGAGCTCCAGTTAGGCGTTTAAGCATTATTGAGTCTAACATTCCAGACACTTTACTCGATAGACTGATTCGTCCTTGACTGTCACAAGAGGAATTTATTTCTTTTTTGTAGACTAGGACAATCAATGATTGAGACCAGTCATATGTGAATACGACCAGTCTCCAGATTCTACCTGAGATCTCACTAAATCTGACAGACACCGAGCATCTATCAGTTTGGCAGACGCTAATGATAACCAACGCTTATCTCTAGCCTTATGGTTTACCTTACAAAAAGATATCACTGTTGTTTCCACAGCTTTTCGATATCGTTGCAAGCTGTCTCGTTGTGGGAATGACTAACACAGTTTCTCTAGTTGTTCTTAAAATATATTCTTAGCCTTGCTGTCATTAAGTAGAATCCTAAGAGGTTTCCTTGTGGTGTCTGCTTTACATTCAGTAAGCCACAAGCGAGTACGCGCTCGCACTACAGCATGATCTGAATCTAAACAAGTGCTCCAGAATGAGCGGCATTCTTCAATCGAACCCCCTCCTCCAATGTGGTCTAGTTCAGTCCATCGTTTGGTTAGCTTTGGGTGTCGCCAGGTCAAGAGTTGCTTTTCCTGATGCTTTAAGTTAGTGTTTGCTAGGAACAGGCGACTATCTGAGCACAACTTCAGCAGACGGTCGCCGTTATCTGATTTTCAAGCCACGACATTATAAGAACCAATCAGGAGTCTTTCGTTTCAATCAGTCTACCTACACGAGCATTGAAGTCACCAGCCATGACTACTAAATCAGTGCGCCTAACGTTTTGAATAAGGTTAGAAAATTTTCGGTTAACTTCGAATTTAACCACATCTGATCTGCATTCAGTGAGAGCGTAGTTGGAAACGACGAAGAGGTGACGGCGAGTTTCCCTGTCTTTACGAGTCCTTACTGTTTCGTTTATTCAGACAACGCATAAGAAATTACCTTCTGGGATCCAGTCTAAGAGTGTTAGATCTGCCCTAAGACTCAATGCTAGACCCACAGGAAACAGTATCAGGGCTTCCAGATAGATACAAGAAGTGTAAATTACAACGGTTCTTTATTTGTAAAAGGTGAAGCAAATTTATTGATTCTACTCGAATCCTGCATGCGCGTTTCGGAGATGCCACGTATATCAATAACGCGAGATTTCAAAGTTCTTGTCAACGAAGCTTGTTGTCCTATTTGACACAATTTCCGGACACTGAAGGCTCCAATCAGTAGTTTAGAGAGAGGTTTCAGGAGACCAGGAATAACTATTCATCAGCTTGAAAAGTTTGCATCAGTGGGGCAAGGTTACAAAGGAACGAAAAAAGGTTGTTTGTGGAGATAAAAGAGTTATTAGGAGGTGTAGAAAGGTTTTGATTGTGACAGATTTGGTCTTCCGTGTTGTTACGGGTATGACGGTGGATGTCACTCGACATCTTCCCACACCGTGAAAGGGTGTTTTTTGAGGAACCTGAAAAGAAAATCGGGTTAGCACTAATCTGAGCGACTTGAATGCGTGACCACAGAGTCCCAGATGCATCTGCTTGAGGACAGTCACGCCTCTCCTTTCTATGGGAAGTTTTTACACTGTTACCTCCTCTCTTCAAATGGCTTCACCGCCGGAGACGAAAATCCATGAGGCTAGGTGAAGTGTGACATTTTTAGGGAGGGTTGATCTTTTCTAACCCTTTCCTTCTTTGCGAGAAGGCAGCATCTCTGTAGATTCTGGTTGTCCGACGGAAACACCTTACTGCTGTCAAAATCCTCTACAGTCAGCAGTACGACTTCGCAGTGAGACCTTGAGTTGCTGCTTTTAGTCCCACCGCTCTCCAATCAGCCTATCTGGCATGGACCAAATGTTCCAACTGGTATAGCTCAGTTGGGTCATCACGACTGGCAAGCCTGGCCACCATGGCAAGGAATCTTCTACGGTTGGATGAATAGTAGCTCAGAGTTAGGCCAATTCAATATACTGCCGATAATCCTCAATACTTATTTAAATCGTAACCCTTTCAACAAAACATTTTGACTTTTAAAATCCATCAACAAGATATAGTTATCAATTATCTAGTTTACTTGAAAGTGGAGTAATTCTAACCAAAATCTGAACATAGGAAACTTATTAAGATCATAATAAAAATTTCCCTAAATATATAGTACAATCAATAAGTACTAATTTAGTATGCGTTTCATGCATGTTACTCATTTTTAGAGATTTCTGTATTCGTATGAGTAAGTCTGATCTTTCGTGAGCGGTTTTACATCCGGTGATATTTTAGTATTTTAAAGACTGAACTCATCCTTGAGAACTTCGCTGTCAGTATTGATTAAAAATAGGTACTTACCACTAGCTTCAATCTTCACTGTTTTCACAGAACCCCCAAATGGACAACTGGAAAACACCAACGATTTGATGTACTTCTTTTTCCACCAAATGTCGCATTTTTTCAAAAACCACTGAGCATATAAGCATCCCATACTATGTGGTAATAGAACAATAGGTCTTTGTTTGGCATTTTCATAAGTTTCCTCAATCAAAGCTTTTAATTTATCAAAAAATTCACCATTTTCATCTAAAATATCGAGTAAATCAAACAGTTTTTTCCATAGTATTTAATGATTTACTAGGAGCTTTCCTAAAATCATATGGTGTACCTCTCATCGTAAAGTTTGATACATAAAACGGATCTTTTCTAAGAACATTAACCAATGAACCAAAATATTCAGAAAACATATTCGGTGTTTCATCTAGATTCTCGATTGACCATGTTTCACCCCATCCTGGAAAAATAATATCAACACCTTCGGCATCATAACTGTGACCGGTTTTCGGATCATATTGTAATCTAGAAAGATGCTCATATATAATTATTTTCAAATTTTGCAGCACACAAAAATAGACATTAAACTAACTTAAAATACTCAGTAAAATGTTTTATAAATGCAAACAATTTCAGATTTAACCATACAGGCAAGGCTTTATGGTCGGGATCATTCTTTAATACAGCGAAAGCTTGACAACCAGCTGTCCCAGGTATCATCACCAATGGATATGGTCCATTAGCTGTTGACTGGGCACTTACTTCCCAGTTGATTAAACTAAAAGTAAAAATGAAAAACTAACATGGTAATTTGTTTAAATTTTGAAAAATTCGCAGAGACCTACTAAATTTAATTGTAAGCCAATGCTATGCATGAATGTGTGAATATCTAAGTAAGTATTGCGTCAAGATATATTTATATATAACCGTCTAAAATATTTCAATGACGAAGTACACCGAAGCTTAAAATTAATAAATCACTTTTTTGTATTTTATTACGTAGTTACTTAAGAACTTTGATACTTGCTTTCTTTAAATATAATTACTTTGAGCAACTGTTCACTGCTAACAAAGTTAAACGATTATTTCACGGAGTTTCGCATTAAAATATATATCAACAAAAATCTAACTGTAATATTTTTTGATTTAAAAAGTAAACTTTAGCACTATTTATTTTGCATCAAAATTATATTTTTAGTAAACGTAGATAACACAATTTTTCAAAACAGTATGTGGTTTAATTCAAATGATTTGCTGACAATAAAATAACAGATCAAAGTTTAGTATGCGCTAAAGTTTACAAGGACCAGGTTGTACAATGATCTGTTAAATACTTATTAAATATTTGAATGATCATCATTGAATTTAAATGTATTTTTAATTAATAGCCTTTATGTTGATTGATTCTGCGCGGAAGTAGTTGGTCGAAATGACATCCAACTATGTAGATATATATAATATGACATTGTTATCCATCGTAACTACAACTTTCAGAAGCTCCTATTCATATTTCACCAAGTTAGTGGACAAAGTTTACCCTTTTATTATCCAATAGTTCACAATATAAAGTGGTCGCACTCCATTGTCCCCAGTTCCTTGTATTCGGATAATGCGACAAAAATAATATTCATGATTAAACCCTGAATTGTGTGTCTTTGTTCTAGAACCTGTCGTAGTATGAATATATGGTCTATACAGCCAGGTCCAGGTCTGAAACCAGCCTGTTTCTCTCGAGTCTTCTCTGCACGAGCTGTAGTTAGGCGTCTAAGCATTATCGAGGCCAATGTTTTAGACACTATATTAGACTGACTGGTTCGTCTATGATTGTCACAAGAGGACTTCTGTCCTTTCTTGTAAATCGGAACAATGAGAGATTGAGATCAGTCATATGGGATTAAGTCCAGTTCCCAGATCCTATCTAAGATCTGAGTAAATTCGACTGTTAAAACTGGACCATCATCCCTAGAAATCTCAGGGGTAAGCCTGTCACGCACTGTTGCTCTTCCTCGTTTCAGGTTTCCTATAGCTTTTTTGACTTCATAAAGACATCTCCCATCCAGGATGAAGTGTGGCTGAAAGCATGTTGAATTGATCCCTAAACTGTTCTCACCATTGATTCAGTCTTCTGGTTTGAGAATTAATGATACAGCAATTCTTTTCCGCCATAAACTCGCTAATAGTTGGATTCCTAATACCGGTTGCTATAACAAGTCTGAATAGTTATCTACTGTGACCCATCGCAGCTGCCGTTTCCATCGCTCTTGCTTTCGCCTATCCAACACTGTTCACGATCATTGTGTATGCTTCTTATCAGCCAGTGCTAAAGCTGACTTCGCTCTTCGTCATGTTCAGAGTCCGACGGGATGCGTTTCCGAGCGTCTATCAGTTCGGTGGAGGCTACTGAGATCCACGGCTTCTTCCTAACCTTCTGGTTTACCTTACTGGCAGATATCACTGCTGTTTCTGCAAGTTTTTGGATATCATTCCAAGCTGCCTCTGTGGTCATCACAAATTACTTATACTTGCCAGAAATGGAAATAACTCCGAAGAAAAGATCATGAACAGAAATAAGATATGTTAAGCCATAAGTCCGCAGATGGCTTGCTGTATGCAAATGGTGCTATCTATCTGTCTCAGGTACTAAATTACATGAAATTCCAGTCCCAGTTTAGCAATCATTGAGTTCTGGTGAATTCCGTAATGATTTCTTTCCAACTGCAAATTAATTTCCATTGAATCGGCAATGGAAACATAAAAACCGAAAGTATACCAATAAATCGGTTTGCGGAAATCGTCAATGTATTGGTTTCATATTACAGACTGGTCTCAGCTAAACAACCATCAGAAACCACACAGACTTGGACTATTGCTTCACTTTGGCATGAGTTAGGAACTTCTTACTCCTTTAATCAACTGACTAAAGTAACATGAATTAATTTGGCAACAGCGGTTTGCGAAAATCTAATCTCTCTAGAACTAACTAACAGCAAGAAATAACGCAAGTGGTCGGTGGCATGGTTTGTTCTTACTCTATAAGATAAGCTTCACGTACACGGAATAAGTGATAAACTAAAGAAGATGAGAACTCATTGGTCCTTTGATCAGTTACGATGCAATGGTATTCAGGGTTCTTCGGACATCCAACAAATTTAGTTCTCCGAGTATCAAATAACTTTTCGCATGTTAAAGTCGTTACAAATCTCAACACAGTGCATACCATGTTAAACCACTCTGACTTTTGAACACATTGCAAGTTGAGAATTAAATTTTGAAGAGCTCTAAATGAACTAGACAAGCATGATATTGGTCACTACTGATAAATCAATCACTTGTAAATATCTACATTCTGTTCCTACAGGCTAATCTCGACTCGAGTTGCTTAGTAGTTAACACTTCCTGGTTCGAAGCAGCATAGCGCTGGCTCAAACCGACTGAGAAGCTCCAGATATTTCAAGACCACAGATCCGTCTTTCTGCTGAATGGCCGTAAACTTTTAACTCAGGTTCAAGGTTTTCCGTTAACTATATCGTGCCATGTAACAAATCATCATCTTTTGTTAGATATTTGACTCACCAAATATCGGATTTGTTGTTAAATCCTTCGTACATCATTGATATTCTACGTTCTGTTCAGCAAGGTATGGGAGGAAGAAGATGTTCCAACCGATTGGAAAGAAGGACACCGGATCAAGATACTATGAAATTGAGACCTCAGAAAATTTGAGAACTACACAGTCACCACGCTGCTCTCAATTCCAGGAATTCTTCAACAGTGTTGTTAGAACGAATGAAAGATTCAGTAGACGTCCAACTTCGAGATCAGCATGCTAGATTCCGTAAAGATCGGTCATATACTGATCAAATAGCGACACTGCTACTCATTGTAGAATAACAAGCTGTTAGTGGAACTCACCATCATACACCAACTTCCCTGACTACATGAAAGTATTTGACAGCGTAGATAGGATGACACTAAGAAATGTTCCTCGACAAAATGGCGTGACTGAAAAAATATTCAACCTCATTCAGAATTCTGATGATGGATTGTTCGTCTAGAACTGCTCACAGACTTGTTCCAAGTGAAGACCAGTGCCTAGACAAGGCTTCCCACTCCCACCCTTGCTCCTTCATACACTAGTTGACTGGAAAATGAAATCTTCAAAAATATAGAGGAAGCATGGTATACAGTGCAAAGCTCGGATGCAGCTAGACGATCTAGATTTTGCAGATGACCCAGAACTTCTATTCCACACACAGCAGCCAATGCAGTTGAATACGGCCAGTGAGTCAGCAGCCTATTCAGTATATGTCTCAACATACACAAGGGAAGAAAAAATATCTTTAGATATAACACACCGTGCACCAACCAAATCGCCTTTGGAGAAGCTGCGTAAGCTATGGAAACCTTTATGCTTCTGCGCAGCATCGTTGATAAACAAGGTGAATGTGATGTCAAAATAAAGAAATTAATTTGCGAACCTCAAGATAGTTCTATTGCATGGAGCAGGGACTTGGACAATTACAGAAATCATTGTTTATTTATTAACAGTTGATAGTCTGAGCAAGATGCAGCAGAGAACAAACCAGATTTCAGTTCAGAAAAAAACTAAGAAAAATTGATGCAGGTAAACAAGACACACATTGAGGAAATCACCCCACAATATCAACAAGCAAGCCGTGAATCAGCGTTCACAAGGTCGAACGAAAAAACGTAGACCAAGGAACACAGTGTGCCGAACATTGGAGACAGACATGAAAAGAATGGACTGCAGTTGGTTAGAACTAGGATGGAAGGCCCAAGACAGAGTTGGTTAGAGATTGTTGGTTGATGGCCTATAATCCATTAGGGGTAAAACTTGTAAGTGAGTAAGTAAGTGCGGTATCCAGCATATTCAAGTATTCTTCTGTTCGTTTGATGGTTGAACACTGGATCTGAGGGTGTAATTTTTAGTTGAGACTTTATTTCAAGTACCTGAATTTATCTACATCTGTGGGTATAGACACGTCAGTGTAGCCCATATCGACGTGTTAAACCAAAGATAAAAGTATTGTAAAAGCTGGAGCTTCAAACTGGAATCTCTTTTCAACAATTTCTGCGGTAACCATGCTAAAGCAATGGAATGCGTGTAATGGAACTCAACAGGTTAACGGCTTCTACAGACGCACAGTAACGAGATATACAATAAATATTCTCAATCAGCCAAAATATCTACATCACTATACTAGCGAAACATCAATCATTCATTTCATGCTACATTATAAGATCTTGTTCCTCCTGTGCTTGCGTATAATGATTGTTTGTATTTCGGCAACTCCGATAATGAACATGTTTTTATTGGAAAATACTCATTACAATGTGAGATTTATGGATACTGCTCAAACTGAAAACGGATTTTATTTAGCAAGAGATCATTCGTTTCGTCCTTGTCCGGTCAACTTTGTGTCGTAAAACAACCCCTTAGAGTGTTTTCACCTAGTGGCTTCAGAACATTTTGTTGAAAAACTTATCTGAATTCGATTTTTCATATTTTCAATTTAGTTGCTTTTTCAACTTATACGGTGCTTATTCATTGTGGCCGATATAACCTTTGCGTTCTCGAACTAGTATGTTTCATTTTCAAAGTTCAGTTATTGTTAACTTAAATTAGAATTCCTTTAGTTTTCAATTTCATAAGAAACGAACATCAATTACGGTGTAGATATATTGGCTATGTTCGATTTGTTTCTCGTTGGATTTGCTTGTAGATAAAGAAAATTATCATGCAGCAGCATAAGGAAACATAAATAAATATCAAGTAATACTTCTGTAAGCTGTTTAATAAAAAAAAAAAACAAATTTCCATCAGTTCCATCAGTAAATATCACTAGAATATCTAACTTCAGTTTCTATGCAAAAGAAAGAACAAATTATTATTTGGTTTTAATGTCGGGACCTCAACTTATTGCTAGATAAGATAGAGAGAAGGCTGCCTATTGCGCTATTAATTAAACGTTTATCTTTGACATCTAGGAGAGTAGTAACCAGAGCACGCGGTCTATCGTAAGCAAAGACCTTAGCTGCTAATTTTGTAAATTATAATCGACTAATCTTGCACAACTATCCTAGTAATCATGATAATAGTAAACAATGGTGAATATAATACTTTGAAAAGTTGAATAATATTTAGGAAAATAAATGTCTTTATTGTCACACACTAAATCAACCGAACACTAAAAATGGCTCGAATTTATTAATTCCAGCAGAAGTCAGGTTGCCATGAGACAGTACAAAATATTAGGCACAGATAACATGATTCAACAAAAAGTGAACAAATGTTTTGAATAGGATAAAATTTTAAAACTCGAAATTCAAGCGACTGAAAAAGAATGTGGATGCATTGACGTCATTATTTGATTTGTGAATATATAAATATATTTTTTTTTTAAAAAAAACTACATATTTGATAAATAAGCGTTTTTTTAAAACATGACTTTTAAAAAAGTATGTTTATTCATGGGTAGAACTGATTCAAACTAGGAAACAAAACTACCAAATATCAAATGTTTCAGAGTAAGCAAATCTAAGAAAAGTAACTGGTTAAGCATAAGATGTAATAAGTCACGAAGAAGTGAACAGTAGTAACATATGTTATTCTTAGAAATTAAATTGAACAGGAAATTTTCTAACAGTGAGAACCATAGTGTACGTTTAGAAAAAAAAACAGAGATCAAAATAAGATTCACAGCCATGAAATTTGCATACTTATTTATACTTTGATTTGCTTTCTTGAAGTGTTTGTGTAATTTAGTTTACATACAAAATGATAAATTATCATTTAAGACTTGGTAAACAGATTCAGATAATTGAACATTCATTGTTTGTTTTACAGCATCATTTTCAAGAAAGATTAAATGATCAAGTAGAAACCCAGTAGTCACATCGGAACAATAACGTTTTAAGCCATTCAGTATGGCCAATTCATCAGATTGATTAATTTCTAAAATACGCTTTTGATAAAGATAATGGTAAGCATTGTCGAATTCTTTTTCACCAAGTTTTTCGATGCAATATCTGAAATACAGAGGATAAATCTTTTAGATTCAGATGCTATTGAATAATTTCTAATTATTTGTTAATGTAGTATTAGCGAACTAGTTGGGTGTGTTCTCGTTTTCACTTAGATAACGATTTCCAAGTTATTTCTGATCACGGGCTAATCGAATTCCACAGAGAGCAATTCTGAGAAGCACCAAAGTAGAGTGGATCAAGAAGAGACACTTGGCAGAGTAAGACGTATGAAATGATTCTGAAACACATAGTCTACCAAAAATCAATAATAAAACGCCTCATGGAGTGATGCTACGATTTATATGGATTGTCTCTAGCCATCGTTTTAGCAGCTTCTACCTCAAGCAGCACTGTGTATCAAGAGAGTCAATGGTCAGTCATACGCTGCACATGCTTCGGACACCTAAATCGATGGATATTAGTTGCCTCAAAACAAGCATTTCGCTTTGATTATCCAGAAGCCTTATTCGGTTGTTGTTCGATGATGATAAGTGACTTGAAATCACATCTTAACAAATTGTACTCCTAATTATCATGATGATTGTAGATGGTCATTGATATATTGAATTCTAATCTCTAATATTTATGTAAGATTTGCAACATATAAAAATCGTATTAGGAAATGCTGTAAAAATGTCATTTTTTTAAATTGAAAATTCGCACATACAGCCGTTGTTTGGTGAAGTCTGAGTTTGAAAAACTATGAAAATTATTTCTTAACATTTGTACTACTGATATACAAATTTAGAAAACCAGACAATAAACTGATAATTTTGTTTAGAAAAGAAAAGTCAAACTAACTGTACTATCACTTAGTTTCGGCTAAAAAGACCTTAAAAAGAATCTGTGTTAATATATTTGTCAAGGATAAAGAACTTTTGATATTGATTAAAATTATTAAAATTTAAAAGTATAAAGTACTTAAAGTTTAGTAGAAGGACTTTTCAAATAACACTAATCTTAACGTCTGGGTTTATTTGTCACTTTGAGCCAATTTATATTGTTATTATTCAAGATTGTACTGTCAGGATTATAAGTTTTAAACTGAACCGCATCAAAAGTTTTCCGTCTAAACTATAACCTATTATTATTATTATTTATTATTGGTATTAATATTAGTATTTAGTATTTTCTTAATTGCGAGTATGTTTATGATAAAAAGCATTTCTAGTTATATTGAGCTGGTGAATGACAAGCTCTGGATAAATTCATTGTATTAATCTATGAAACTAATGAATGCTGACTTAACTCATTTTAGGAGGCAAAAACTTCGTCAATATGATTTTTAATAATAATAATCGAAACAAGTAATTAAGAACATTAGATCGTTATAAAATCAATGGAGTATGTTCTTATCAGTGTTGTAGTACATTGAGTTCGTTAGCAGTGTTCGAATAATTTACTTCACGATTACATGTGATAGACGGTGTGTGACTAGCACATGAATCTGGAATGCAAGTCTCGTTCCATTCGGGACTCGTCAACTAAAAGAGTCAGCACTATTTTCTTGTTTGTTTCCTTAATAACAGTTTAGTGGGTTTCGAAGCTTAACTACTTAAAACTGATGTACTTTTTGAAAAACACTTTAAATTAATACGTTTATCTATTTCTATGACCAAACATATTCTCACTTATAGACACTATGTGAACTAATGAGAGATTTTGATTAAGTTGACCCACTTATTTGTTCCTATTGCAATGAAAGTTGAAAAAATAAATGATAAGATATTTGTCGAATTTTTTTGTACATCTTTTTCTGCAATGAAAAACTTAATATCAGAATGTTTACTTTTAGCTACCGAAAGAACCAATTAATGAGATCAATATTAAGGCTCAATTCATTTAATAGTTAATCAGTCATGATCAAAGTAAAGCCTGGTATATGCGTCTGTTGGACCAACACTAGGATGATGAAATAAATTTAAAAAGATGAACATTAAAGGAATTGGAATAATGTAATGATGGTGTTGGCTAAAAAGACTGAACCCAGAAAATAAAATTCCGAAAGACATAGTAGAGCAGTATTTTTGAGGGAATAGCAAAGATCATAATCTAGATTCAAAGAAAGAGTGAATTTCTCCGCGCCACCATGACCGTTTCTGAGCCATACCACCAAAGTTTCAGACTACTGATCGAAATTATCACGCAGACCCGAATTTCATAAAATGAACCTACCTCTATGGATTAGAGCAATAGTTAATAACTTTATGAACTGATATCCCGTTTAAGTTTGGTCAGCTCTAGCTTTCCGCCAATCTACTCTTAAAATGACCTCAAGATAGGCGGTGATTATGTTTCTGAGTAGCTGAATGCAAGACAGATTGTAAACTTTTTATGAAAGCATGTAAGTAAACGCGGTCAGGAGACTTGATCAACGTAGCTAGATGAATACTGAAGAGAAAAATTTATAGAAATACATTTACACCTGTCAAAATGGCAACCCACATGTTTAAGCCGGCTGCCGCTTCATCTGTAAATAAATCCTTAAATTGTTTGCACCTCACAAACCAATGCACAAAAATCAAAAGAACTAATAAGCAAAACTAAAATCCAGAAAATAATTCAATGAAATGAATTATAATGCTTACTTTTTCAAAGCATCAATTCTTTTAGCTTTAACCTCTGGACTGAATATGTTCTTAGCTTCATCATCCAAGACTATTGTATTACAATCTATGTTTTTGATATATCGGTTATTTCAATAAAAAGAATAAAATCGTAATCTTAGTACCATATTCAGACTAAAATTTTAAAAATGAACTCCGAAAAATTTCACTACTGTCATAGGTACAAAAAACAGTATTGAAGCTCCGAGGCTATTAGGAACGTTAAACGTAGTCCATAAAGCAATCACTTTCACAAAGGAAGAAGAAAACTCCAATATTATCTCCCTTCTAGACGTTATTCATAAGAAGAGTTCATGGGACGATAAGAAGTAACATTTATTAAACGCCGTCCACACAAGGCTTTCTCTCATTAAAATATACAAGAAACTTAGTCAAATTAATAACCCAAATGAACCAATATTACTTGTCTTGATGAATTCTTGAAGGAAAACTAAAATTTGTTTATGATTTACCAAGTAAACATTGATGACCATCAAAGTTCCAAACATAAGGTAAAGTTACTGACGTTTCCGAAAAAGACTTTAATCCCGAACGTACAATTTAAAAGTGAAATTCGGCATAATGTAAAACATGAATTCAACATAGCAACATTATGAACTTCCTTCAGTAACAGAATACGGAATTCACGAAATAACTACATAGTTCCTCTGCCTCTGTATACTTACTATTTCAAATCCTCATGCACAGAAAGTTGTACTGTGGTGCTGTGGTGCGAACTACTTATAAGTAGTATATAACGTGAGTGTCAACGTAAAGTCTGGTAGCATAATATGGGGGGAAGATCAAGAAAGGAAGAGTTAGAAAACAATGGAATTTGTATGAAACGCATGAATAGTGACAATGGATTGATGTTGGGCAACAGGAACAGTCCAGTTCCATAGGATGAACTGATCTTTTGCAAATGAACGATTCACGATATGGTTTTCCGATTTTACTGAGTAACTCTGTAATTTTCGTTAAATACAATTCGGTTGCCCCACCTGTGTTCTCATTCACTACAGTACTAGGCTCACAATGATGAAAATACATCTTTGTATTTCTAAACATAACCTTTGATGGTTGACCAAAGAACGAGAGAAAACTGTAAGAATCTTTATCTTTGTATATTTAGCTGATACTGGTCATCACTGCAATAAAAAGTTCAACTTTTTTAAAGTTATCTACGGAATCCCATCCAACTTACCCAATGGTTTAAGAATCCAACTCTTACACACACCAGAAATTATGGGAGCTAGGAGCAGATGCCAATAAACTTAATATGTAACTTGTGGTGTGTACGACTATGCTGAGCCTACATGGCTTGTCCCAGACTTCAGACTAATAAATTAATCCAAAATTCTCAATTTATTCACACATTTTTCGACCTTGTCGGTTATTCGCTTAAAATCTTGTTTATTTTTACTCGAGTATGTGAATTGCTTGCTTCGGTTATCACATGTCTAGCTCATATTGGTCTGACTATAAATCCCTAGTCATGCCTCACCACAACTAGTCAGCTTACTCACCATCTCCGCTTCACCTTACTCTGCTTTTACGATCTCTTTATCGTCCGTTGGCTTACACAAATGTGTGAAATAAATCCAAGCAAAACAAATTGTACTGAGTTCTTGACAACCGCCTTCATACATATGGGGTTCACCTAAGAATGATATGCGGAAATTATAGGAAAGATTTATCTCGTAGAATATTCAGTGTTTCGTTCAAACTGGGGTAAGATTCCGGGCTACTAAAAACTTGTGATAATAAACTAACTACGAAATCTCATAAATAACATGTAATTTTCACTTGTCATGGCTAGTTATGTAATGCACTTGACCTTTATCATAGACTGACGAACTGAGTTGCTTAGAGTTTTCCATATTATCTTGCATAATTTGAGCTAAAACATACTTGAAATGCCCTTTGGAAAATTTCTATTAGTTTGTTGTGCTTCATCTAATTCAAACATTACACAACATCTACAGTGCTATAACATGAAACTCATAAACTGAAACAAGTGTATGGCCAAACCTTCAGGATGACATAAAGCTGCTTTCATGCAAACAAGTACATCGTTCAACGTATCAGTTGGATCTTCATTATCGCGATTTTCTATGTCTTCTAGATTATCCTGAAGAATATTTTCATCTTTTTCTAATTCTTTGAAATCATCTTTATTGAAATTTTTCGCATAATTTAACAGCTGGTCATCATAATTTGTATAATAAGTCTCCATAAGTTCAGTATCATCAGTAAACACTGAAATAAACGATTAACAGAAAACTGAAATAAAAGTGAATACTCAAACGACATTGATCAATAAGATTAGTTGGAATCCCAATAATAGGAATTATTGAAATTATCAAACACGATTAATATTTCAATTTATTTTTCTCTCATGTAAATTAGTCAGATTATTATGAAATTTTGTATAATAATGAACTGTTTTGAGAATTCAAATCGGTCATTTAAACTGACCATTTATTGACCAATGAAAAAAAAGACTTCATTTGTAATTCTAACGTTGCTACGATTCGAAAGTTTTATTTTACGTTTTCTCTGGTAGGATATGTTGAGAAAAAACACTTATAACTCTGTCCTCCCGAGGAAATCTACTGGACTAATCAACTATCCATTGTACAGTTCCACGTGTTAGTTATAATAATAGGTGTTTAGTAAACATGATTCGTCCTCCTTTAATAATGATCACAGTGATATACCCCAGTGCAGATTACCATTTTTGTCAGCCTGGTTACTCTCAGTTCTCAGGTAGTTAAATGTACAATACTTGACGACCTACAGAAATTTGAACTTTGTTTCCGGATGATTTGTTCGTGAACTAAAATGAAAACGATGTTACAGTACTGTTGAGAAAGTAATTATATGAAAGATTTTCATGCGTGAAACTGATGTTCACGTTAATAAAATAAATCGTTACGTGATGGTATTCTATTATTTTCAGCCTTAAAAATCCTAAAAGGGATTTGAGTAATGAACAACATTTGAGTAGTAATATATAAAGAATATTGATCTGAAATCAGTTCCAGAGTTTGAAATATTTATTCTACTTATTTGTCTTTACAGTCTCTATAAGTAATTTAATAATTATTCCCTTATTTCAATCTCCATTTCGGTTTATAATTTACTTCTTCAAGTATCTTTAATACTGTAGCACCTCACAGATATTTTGTAATTTTGTCATCATTGAGCTTGTACGAGAAAGTATGCCTGGGCGTTGCTTACCGCCTCCGCAAACAGTCATTTGACTAGCTTTTTTAAATTTTCAAACAATAACATGTAAAGTAAAAGTTAATATGCAAAGAGAAAATCATATTGTGAACAATTTTTCAAACAAACTAAGTGAACATTATCTTTCGAGGGAAAATAAACCGTTCATGATATGCCATTAAACATTTAGTCAGTCAGTCAGTTACAACGTAGAACTTCGTACTTACGTACACCAGTTCAGGTTGTCATACCACATTTGTACTGAGTTGCACTTGTCACTTCGAATCCCAAAGTAGTAGAGGTACTGGAAGCATTAACGGTAATGAAGATTAGGGTTCGAGAATTATGATCCAGTGAAATAAACTTGAAAAGAGAAAGATAAAGGTCATGAAGAATCAATTGGATTATGATTTGAGAGAAGGGAAAGAATGTATGCACCTGCGCCATTGCAAACGACATTGAGCAATGTCATTGAAGGTCTCTAACCAACGATTACTATCGTCTCGCGGACTTGTCGCAGTGTGAACATGTGGTCTATACAGCCACGTCGAGGTCTGAAACCAGCCTAGTTGTTTTTATCGAGTCTGCTCTTCACGAGCTCTAGTTAGAAGTCTAACTATTTTCAAAGCTAACATTTCAGACACTAAATTAGATAGACTGATTCATCTGTGATTGTGACAAGAAAACTTTTTTCCTTTTTTGTAGACTGAAACAATGAGTGACTTAGACCAGTCAGATATGAGTAAGTCCAGTTCCCAAATTCTACCTAAGATTTCAGTTAATCTAACTGCTAAAACTATACCACCATGCTTAAAAATCTCAGGGGTAAGCCTGTCACGCCCTCCTGTTCTTCCTCGTTTGGAATTTCCTATGGCCCTTTCAACTTCATAAACACTTTGACGATTTACATCGATTTGCCATTCAGGAAAACTGGAGATCGTGGGCAACTGAAGCGTAGCTGAGGGTCAGTTGAATTGATTCCTGAAGTGTTCTGCACATCGATCGAATCTTCTGTGTTAGAAAGAATGATACAGCCATTCGTTTCTGAGATATTCTCGCTATCATTTGGGTTCCGAATACCGATTATTTGATAAAGCAGAACAATTGTCTACCGATATCTATCATCGCTGCCACTTCCATTGCTCTTCCATTCGCTATTCACCACTGTTCGCGATCATTACGTAGGCTTCTTACCAGCTTGGGCATAAGCTGACTTCGCTCTTCGTCATGTTCAGAGCCAGAAGTGATACGTTTACGATCATCTATCAGTTCGGCAGACGTTACTGATAACCACCACTTATCTCTAGCCTTATGGTTTACCTTACAAAAAGATATCACTGTTGATTCCACAGCTTTATGGTATCGTTCCAAGCTGTCTAGGGGTGGGAATTACTTACATAGTTGCTTAAGCGTTTCTCTAGTTGTTCCCGAAATATATTCTTAGCCTTGCTCTCATTAAGTAGAACCCTAAGAGGTTACCTTGTGGTGTCTTTCCTACATTCAGTAAGCCAAAAACGAATACGCGCTCGCACTAAAGCATGATCTGAATCTAAAAAAGTGTTCCAGAATGAGCGGCATTCTTCAATGGAACCCTCTTCTTCAATCGCTGATAGCAAAGTGGTCTAGTTGAGTCAGCCTTAGGTGTCGTCATGTCAAAAGATGTTTTTCCTCGTGTTTAAAGTTAGTGTTTGCTAGGAACAGGCGCCTTTCTGAGCACAACTTCAGCAGACGGTCGCCGTTATCTGATTTTCAAGCCACAACATTATAAGAACCAATCAGAAGTCTTTCTTTTCACTCAGTCTACCTACACGAGCATTGAAGTCACCATATATGACTGCTAAATCAGAGCACCTAACTTTTTGAATAAGGTTAGAAATTTTTCGGTAAACTTCGAATTTAACCTCATCTGAGCTGCAGTCAGTGGGAGCGTAGGTGAAGATGACGAAGAGGCGACGGCGAGTTTCTCTATCTTTTCTAGTCTTTACTGTTTTAGATAGTCGGACAACGCATAAGTGATTATCTACTGGGATCCAGTCTAGGAGAGCTAGTCCTGCCCTAAGACTCAATGCTAAACCTAAACCGGCGAGGCCACAGGAAACAGTATCAGGGCTTCCAGATAGATACAAGGAGTGTAAATTGCAACGGTTCTTTATTTGGACAAGGTGAAGTCAAGTTAGTGATCCCTCCGAAGCAACATATATCGATTAGGCGATATTTTAAAATCCTTGCTAACAAAGCTTGTTGTCCTATTGAAGGCTACAACTAGTAGTTTAGAGTGGGGTTTCAGGAGACCAGGAATAACGTTTGGTGAGTTCGAAACGTTTGTATCAGCCGCACGAGGTGACAAAGGAACGACAGAAGGGTTGGTTGTGGAGATAAGAGAGTTATTAGGAAGCGTAGGAAGAATTTGATTGTGACCGATTTAGTCTCGTGTGCTGTTATGGGTCTGAGGGTGGATTACACCCACCTCTCTGCTCACACCGTGGCAGGGTATTTCTTGAGGAACCTGACAAGGAAATCAGGTTAGAATTAATCTGAGTGACCTGGGAGCATGACCGCAGACTCCAAGATACAACTACTTGAGGACGGTCACGCACGGTATTTTTATTGGAAGTTTTTGCATTGTTCGATTCCCTCTTCAGTTTGCCTTATCACCGGAGATGGAAACCCGTGTGATAAGATGGGGTGGGACATTCTTAGGGCCGACCTTTTCTGACCCTTTCCCTCCTTGCGAGAAGGCAAAATCGTTGCAGATGCTGGTTGTCTGAGAGAAATACCCTACTGCTTTAACACTCCTCTACAGTCAGCGTTTCAACTTCGCCCTCAGAACCTCAGTTGCTACTTTCAGTCTAATCGTTCTTCAGTCGACCCGCCTGGCATGGTAGAACCTACAGGAACGTATGTCACAGCCAACATAGCTCAGATGAGTCATCACGATATGCAAGCCCGACTACCATGTCAACATTTCAACATTCAGTATGATAAATCGTTATGTACGGTTGTATGAGTGTTATTCTGATATTTTCACTTTCTATATAACCAGCTAATTGAGTGAGAAAACCAAAAGGAATAAGAAGCTTTTATCGGCTCCCGTTGTCAAGCATCAAATTATACTATTCATTTATGAAAAAATAAGATGTTCGATGTGCATAACTATGCTATAAGTATGCCTATGACTACTCTAACAGCACTATTAGTAAACAAGTTTGTCAGGCTAGATAATCTACTGGCTGTATTCTTACCTCTCTAAATAAGGACATTATACTGTTCTTAAAGGAAAATGTTCTATGTTTTTATAACCTCAAGATAGAGTGTCACAGAGTTTTCCTCTGCACTTTGCACTTTCATGTATTCGGCCATCGACGAAAGAAACACTGTTATTATCAGTGCGGATGAGTTCATTGTGTGTATGTATGTAAATTTTTTACTCTTCAAATCCCTTAGAAATGAATGATTTTCGTCACAGGCAAATGTAAAATCAAGAAGCAAATCAAGGGGGATACAATCAAAACAATGGTTCAAACAACGACAGGTTTAAGGTCAATAGCAACCAGTCAAGGTCGAGGTTAACTAAACAAGCTACAGGTCGAACGTGGAGAAATTCCAATACTTCACTTTTATCTGAAGTTTGTGCTAATGTTGTTCAGCAAATCAATGAAAGCTCCACAACCAAAACATCCAGCTCAAAAAACGAAACACCACCACAATCATCCACCTGAGCTACGAATATTCTCCACCATCTGAACGATGGTCTATTTTTGATAATGTAACACTTAGTCCTTATAAATGTCAAGCAGTTAATTTCAACCTGAGACATTACAAACACTTAAACATCCTTTTGGAATCCCATGATGTTTGTACGATTACAAATTCCGTAATTAAAACTGTCAAATATCATTTAACTTGCTGTAAGTTCTTCTCTTGAATTCTCTTGGTCTTCACATGTTTTATCAAGATCGAAAAAGGTTATCCCTCTGCATTATTATATAAAGAGGCTGTGTATCTAAGGGATTATTCGATATTTACTAATATGATTTATAAACTTATACCGGACTTTAGACAAACGGTTTTGCTGCGTTGTGGAATTCTGAAGGTAGTTAGTAAAGTGGCGAATATTCTTTAGATGTCGTGCAGTAGTATGCACCTACAAATATCTCATACTTATCAGTTGACCTATGTTCGTATCAGAACTAATAATTGAACGTGTCTTCGCTTTAGTGGTCTAGGACACTCCTTAGCTATCGTTTGAACAAGTTATTTATTTCTAACTTGTAAGGACCCAGCAACTAGGTCACATGTCATAAACCAACATTCGTCTATTACCCAAGTCGGCATCATATACCCAGTCGTTTAATTATGCTTCTTATGTGCGAAAAAACATATGATGGCTTCAGTATATGTAAACTTCTCTGGGTAACTAGTTAATTTGATAACCTGCATACTTACCACTACAACATTTCAATTTAGAATTATTAATATCACTCAGCTGTCTTGCTGACTGTACGTATTTATCATTCAACGTTTCCACAGACGTAAGTTGTCGACGTATAAACAAATTCTCTTGATTACTGTCACCATGATCAATAATATTTGGCTTATGATTGCAACCTTGTTTTTTAAATTCATCGATTGTGGTATAATCATAAACTGGACCTATTAATCTGGGTGAAGGATAAAAAGTTTCTATTTCAGTAAGACTCGTATGATCGTTTGAATCTTCATTTTGTTCACTTCCTTGTTTTACAGAATTCGAAAAATAAGACATTCCAAGACTTTCATCTTCAGCGCCTGGACCTTTGCCTAGCAATATGTTATTTTCTAGAAAGTAAAAAAAGGCAGGTATACTAAATAGAAAACTGACTAAACAAAACATTTCAGATAATCGTAAACGTCGTCGAAACCCCTGAATATAATCAACCAAGTATACAATTTTAAGTTTTTTAACCATGTTCACTAAGTTTCCCTTCCTTTGTTTAGTCCACGTTCATAACTGTTAGGTATTAAAAATGTACAAGCTATTCATTCTCAACATAAATATCCTAGATAAAATGGACAATAAGATCATGTTACTGGGTGAATGATCTTATTTCACTCTATAGACAAGCTTCTAATAGCTTTGAACGAAAATAACTGTCTCTTAGCGTCCAAATCATGTACGTATGTGAATGAAGAAATCTCTGTGAAGTATATTAGAACAAATCCCAATGAAATCGGTAACTGACTTATCTGTTTACGCTTCATCACTGTCATCTTTCAGTTCTTACATTTTCTACGTCCATAGCAAAGTACACACAAACTGTAAAACAAGTTTAATATTTATTCGCTATAAGGTAGAGTCATTTAAGTTCACAAAGGAAGTAGTTAGTAGAATCTCTTGAACCGTAGATGTACCTGTACATATGTTCATAAATATTGTAGTGTCATGTTCAGATCCCACAAACACCATCAGTTTCTTCTTGATTGTATGTATATCTTTTCTACAAGAGTCATCTATCACAGAACTCAAGTTCTTGGCTACTTTTTGATAGCTTATAATCACCCAATAAATTCTGGCGGCTGAGTAGAACGCGAATCATATGTGACCTGTTAGGCGGTTAGAGACCAATGTTAAAGAGCCCTGAATCTCTCCCCCAACAGTCGTCAGCGAGACGTAATTGATATTTTAGAAAAATCCATTCTTTTGTAGAATTTGAGCACACGTCACTCAGTTTTACGGTCAGTAGTGCTATCAACAAACCTATACTAATAACAATCATTCGCTCACTAGTGAGTAAAATCAGTTTACAATTCCTGCAGTTTTAATGAGAAACTATGACCAGTGGAGTTCAACTACACTGAATGTGTGTTAGTTATTCACCTCACGTAAAAAAGGTGGATGTATGTTATGGCAACTTGACTAAAGGTTGACATTTACAATGGATCGACCATTAAGATGAAACATCTGTCGAGTGCTTTCTAGTTTTCAACGGTTTTTCTTAAGATCAGTCCGCGATGTGAACTAAAAAAAATTATATAAATAAACTTTGATCAGACTAAAATATGCACCTTCTAAATATGGTTTATTTGGCCAGAATGAATCATCTACATTTTCCAAGTCATCTAGTTCATCATTTACGTTTTGTTCGTTATTTATTTTCTCTAAGTAAAAATTTTTTAATTCATTTAGTAGTTTCTCTGTAGGCGTTTGAATTGTAGGCCATATATGATTCAATGATGGATATCTTTTCTAAATTGTAGGAAGAATGAATGAATGAAAAGTCAATTTAGAATAAACAATCAGTCATTACACTGTTAATTTGATCAAAAAACTGAAGTCTACACTGTAGATAAATTAATCTAGAAAAATTGTGCCTAATAAACATTGATTTGAATTGAATCACATAATACTTTGTAGTTTATATCATTTGCAATTAAAGTGCATTTGTGCAGGACTCAATTGTAGCAATTTACTACACTAAATGATTTTTCATTAGAGTACATCAATCATAATTTTTGATGGATCAAACGAGCCAAGGGACATAAAGCCTTCAGTACTTTATTTTAGAATTAGTGTGAAGGAAGCTATGGTAATAGTTAAAATATTTTCGACTCACCTCTATCAGTTGATAATGGATATTCACTCAGAGCAAGTAATGTTACTGATTTCCATATTTTCGCAGTTGAATTCACCAATTGACCTTATCTAAACCAATATTGAAAACCCGAATGGAAGCCCAGTCGTCTAGATAATGGGAATTCCTGTCAGACAAATGGCCATCCCATACTTCCAGGTTTCTATGATCGGTCCATGATTTCAAATGTAAAAATATAACTCTCTCCACCAATTCCCTAATCTATTGATTGGTATACACAAGTTAACATATCTCTAGTATAATAAACTGTGTTTCTGCACTGTAACTACCAAATTATCGCTCTTCAAATAGAAAAATTTGTCCCAATTATTTTGGTTTAAAAGTTCGCTTGTCATGTTGTATGCATTCGCTGTCATATTCATTTCAATCAAATGCTTGGAATTGCTGCTGGGGTAAATCGCCTGATAAAATGCGTGCAAACTTGGCGCTTAATTGGTATCCAACTGACTTCAGTTAAATAACATTAACTCAAGTGATCAATTAATCAGTAATGTTGAAATCAAAGGCCGTTTGTATCTTATCGTTGTTACCAATGTTACATTATTGAACCGAATAATCAACGCGTTAGAAACGTCAGTCAAATAAAAAATTTCCTTAGTGATCCGTTTTATAACCCTGAGATCATTAAGCTTGAATAAACTAATTATTTGATAGTTTTAATTCCATTTTGGATCAGTTTATACAACTGGTTAATCAGGTGTTTCAGGAAAAATCATAGTGTGAAGACAGATTTGTCCGCCTATTCTCACTGTTAAAAAAAAGTTTGTTAATTTTACAAAATAAGAGTAAATCATACTTGACTCTATACCATGTGAGTATAAAATCTGGAAACACCTTACTTAAACTTTCATACTGCTAAACAGCTCAATGTGTTAGAAGTTTATTGCATTGTGATTTTGGAGAAAAACTGTTTTATACTTTCGACATTTTAAACCAATCTTCCTACATATTAACAGTATAGGATATGGTTGTTTTCATAAATATCAACTTGTAGCCTTACGTTGAAACAACATGTGAATTATTGTTCTACAGTTAAACTTTACAATAATTAGGAACTAATAGTTTTTGCTTTTTGTTTATCAAATGAATATTTTCAACTTGTCATGCCTGTTCATTAACATATTTTAATGTATGAAACCTTCAAAACAGATAAGAAGAAAAAAAGCAATACGGAACTTTGGTGGCTATTAATTAGTGAACTAGTTTGCATATAGTGAAAGCTATCTTTTCACTATCCACAGTTGTTTCTGTCTTTTATAAATTATCTTCAACTAACTATTATCACTTGACTTTCATACTTTCAGTAGGATTAAAATAAAAAACAATAGGTTAATTATGAATTAAATTTTGAGAACATTCAACAAAATGTCATATAGGCTTCTAAAACCAGGTTACCTGCAAGGTGTGCAACTGGGTTTCCTTTGTAGAATTAAAAATATTGCGAGTGTATGTTAGCTGTTCTGCTAAATCTCTGAAATTATAATGCATAGTGAAGAATTAAACAAATGCAATTTCGTGTTATTCATAAAATACACTCTGAATATGGAATGTGACAAAACGAATCTTCAATGGATAATATAAGATTGGACTTAGTGAACTCCTTATCATAATCTATAATGAGTGGGATTTTATTGGGATAATTGTCGTTGAAGTAAATACTAACACGCACTAGGACTGTAACACATATTTTACTCATAATATTCATACAGAACAAAACGTGTATCTTGAATCGCACTGAATATTAAGATGTCCTACCAGACTGACTTGAAGTCCTAGAAAGAGAAATCGAAATATCCATATAGAAGGACAGCATTGACAATCACTGTGCAACATTGCAATTAGACGCAGAGTTATGGCTAAGTGCTAAAAAGGTATTGCGCTTCCTGAGAAATCTAAGGGTCAAACGCTTGGTCTCTTATAAAGCCATGCTTGCACACATCCAACGAGTTTTTAGTTGCGATTTAAAAAAAAAAGCATTTAATGCTCCTGCTTTTTGTAGCCTTTAAAGTCAAATCATAGATTATCTGAAAATTAGACGAAATTAATCAACTGAGCTTTGTGATTCCAAGAATAAAAAAGGTGTAAGACATGGTAACACAAAGCAAGCAAGCAAGCTAATTTTATTCTAATTTATAGCAAAATCAATTGTTCTATAATGTATTTACTCAGACTATGAATTTTATCACTATACGTTTTGTGGTTTCATTTTAATGTACACATATATATATGCTCGATAAGCATCTATAATATTTAAATAATATTATAAAAGTTCATATTTCTGTTTGAGAAATCAGTTCAAGAAGTTTTAGTTATTGTTTACTGCAAATAAAGATGCATCATCATAGAGAAATAAACAAAAATTTTGACTGAAGAATTATTGAAATTATTGAAATACCTTAAGATCACAACACTTCGATCTGATTCAGTGGCTTTATTTAATTTAACTTTTTGACGTGGTGTTAAGTATTGATCTTCTGAATGTTCTACATTTTCTTCAATCTCTTCATTTATTTGCATTGAAAGCTCTTCAGCGTTTCCAGTTGACTGGTGTTGATGTAAAGCTGAATCTGGATAACTGATGAATTCTTCAAACGATATAAGTCTTAATTAAAGAGATGAAGACAATAACTTAAGGCTGCGGCAAGGAAATATGCTCAGGATGAAAATATGGTAATGTAGACTGGTCAGTTGTAATTCTTCAAATCAATAACGTGGAATTACAACCCTAAGCTACTGAAGTGTCAAATTACTTATTCTTTTTACCTTTTGTTAATAAAACGTGGTTTTGATAAGTAACTAACTTAGTACATTATTAACAAACTGACTTTTTCCATTCACAAATTATATTCGTTCTTTTTCGATATTCAATTTTGATATATATATGTTCTAATGGTCATTGCTTTTACTACACAAACGTAGTTGTTGCATAATATTTTTGACTACGTTTGAAAATAGCAGCGATCTGAAAATCCCTTCATTATCTCCCTTTCTCAGTTGTTTCTGTTTAGGGTTAGTGTTGTGTATGAGTCGATTAATCTATCCGGTAGTTTTGAATGAGAAGAATTTCCTAAATGTTCATATCTTGCAATCATCAGCTGGTTGAAAAAGTAGGTGCTTATCTTGACTCAGAAAATTAGTCGACAGAATGTTAATCACCAGTCTCAGAGTCCATGCCAAATACGATGGAACACTCAACCTGGATTTCACCCCTGGCTACGTACGATACATAATGAAACTTTTGAATTTTAAAACAGTTGCAACTTATAACATCAAACAGCTTTGTAAAGATGTAACTGAATTGGGAAAAGTGATTATAATGAACTGAACACTCCCTGTAACTGGAAATTCTCTTCTAAATAAACATTTATTTTGAAGACATGAACTCTTTCTCATTAACATATCAGAAAATGTTATCGCAAACTGTTTGTTTGACAAAACGAAAAATATACCTTCTTATCAAATATGTTAAGTTTAGAGATGGTTGGATTCTACATAAATCGAAACAGGGTTGTAAAACATGGAAGTCGATGTATTGACGCGACAACATTTTTAAAATAAAATGATTCGATCGTCAAACCATTTGCTGCTCTTTACTACTGTAGTGAATGAGAACACAGGTGGGGCAACCGAATTGTATCTAACGAAAATTACAGAGTTACTCAGTCAAATCGGTAAACCATATCGTAAATCGTTCATTTGCAAAAGATCAGTTCATCCTATGGAACTGGACTGTTCCTGTTGCCCAACATCAATCCATTGTCACTATTCATGCGTTTCATACAAATTCCATTGTTTCTAACTCTTACTTTCTTGATCTTCCCCCAATATTATGCTACCAGACTTTACGTTGACACTCACGTTATATACTACTTATAAGTAGTTCGCACCACAGCACTACACTACTACTAATAATAATCGAATTTGAACGGAAAAACTTAGTTCAGTGTGATACAGAAAACAAATGAAGCTAACATGTCTATTAAGTGGAAATAATGGTTTATACAAATTCCTAAAGGATAAAAGTGGAGTAAACACATTTTATGGATCGATCATACAGTTTAATTTTCTTACCGATGAGATTCTCTTTGATTATTCCAATTTTCATCAGACAATTCATTTTGCATGTGAAATATGATTTCTTTGTATAAGTCCTAAAAAAAAAATAGCACGAACTCCATGTACTGAATGTTACATGGAATAGTTGTGGAACGGTTTGATGCAGAAAATCTACTCAATATATGTTTCGGGAAAACAATTTAAAAATTGTGTTCATGATTGAAATGTCGTCTGAAATCTGAATCTGAATGAATACGACCATTCTCTTTTAAAGTTTACTTCCTGATTTTTCCTAGTCATCTATATAATATCAAATGTCGCTAAATCCAAGCATCATTTTTATCTAGTTTTTAGTATGAAACAATTAGAAATGATAGAAAATAACATTAAATCGATTTTCCGCTTACCAGCAGATATAATGATAACGATTGAGATGTACTTACATGTAAAAACGAGTGAATGACATTTAAGTGAAGAAGTTCTGAAGCAGATGGTCGTTCTTGAGGAGTTTTCTTTAACATCCTGAAATATTTTTGAGTAGAATGTTCATTAGACACCAACTAGATAATGATTAACCGTTATGCAGTTAATATTTGTACATCGAATAAATTACTTAATGAATAGGCAGAATGACTTAAAAATAAGAGAAATTTAAAAGAATAAAGTAAAAAGTGCACAAGTTAGCTTGCCAATAGCTTATTATCTTACAAACAATTCATTCCAGTTCACACTTCATGTGTCAAACCAATATCGTTAAAATGACAACTCTTACTTTATGTATCATTTACTAGCTCATCAAGTATGTACCATCATTATTGTGTTGATGTGATCACCAAATGAAACAAATGAACAGTTGTTCTGAATCGAAGTCGTTTTTATCAGTCTATCAAATGTATCAAATGACTATTCACATTTCTTCAAAGTGTATATCTATCATCCTTGTGAAATTCTCCTTTTACGGCCATATTACTTATTAGTAATCAGGTCCATCTCCTTTTCCTTTTTGACGTTTTGTTACCCAGTGTAAGTCACGTATATGGTAAATAATTGGTTCTAATAACCGCGAAAGACGTCTTCTTAATGTCTCAGACTAACGAAAAGATATTCATGTATACGAAAACCAGCAGACAATAACCGTAGTTGTGCCAGTCAACTGACTTTAAAATTGATCAATTACTAGCAGATGAAGTTAGTTTACTGTCACTAGTAATTAACAATGACCATTTGATACAAGTCAAAACAACCGAAAATCCAGACATCTACAAATAAAAAAATTTCATCAAACACCTCCTGTATAACAGCTTTATACTGAAAGAAATCTAGCAAACAGAGTTTTTGATTAAGAAAATATTTTCTTTAATGCTACATACAGTTCTAAAGCGTCTTGCAGTTCTTTTGAATAAATCTCCGGCAACTGAGGACAAGGATCATTTATCACCTGCCACATAACACGCATTAGATTAGTTCCAGTGAATGCTCTTCTTTGAGTGCAGAGTTCATACAGGATTATCCCGATTGACCTACAAAATATTCAAAAGACTACAGAAATTGTAGAAATAATATTAAAATATGGTAAAAACCATAATGCATGTCAGATCAGTTTCAGCAAAGACACATCAGTATGTAAGCCAAGACTTAAAGAAACTTTAGCTGTAAAGTGTAGTTCTATCTGAGAAAAGGACCCTTAAATTACCTGATTACTATTGATTCATAACTCATAACAGATTAATTAGGTGTTTTTTTTAATCTTTGGAAGCTCATCGAATTCTTCTGAACAGGCTACACTTTAACTAGCTTTATCATGAAATTGAAATTAACGTATAGTAGTCCCATATATCTTAGATTAGTAACTTTTTAATTATATGAAGCCCTAAAAACATTTAATTCACATTTAAGATTTTAAGACAATGAATAAGTATGTGAAACGAACTCAACATTAGCGGACCCCAACCAGGTAGTCTACATCTACCAACAAGACTCAGTCCACTTGTCAGTGACTTCATGGATTTGTGTCACGTTGAGTTTGACCACCCCTAGCTTTCTTCCAACCAATTTCTACATCACAAAACATCGCTCTTCGCGGCAGTTGGAAGCTGGGCATACATAACACATGTCCCAACCATCTCAAGTGATGAAGTTTCATTACTTCATCTATTGACCTGCCATCCCTAGCTAGTACTCGGTTGTCCCAGGATATATGAGCAGTGATTCGAAGACATCGGTAATCGAATGTTTGGCATCAATATGGTAGGACGGAGCGAACTGGTGCACAGTAGACTCGTCCTTTGGTTAGCAAACGGATATCTCTCCTACGCTAAAAGTGACGCAAGTTAGCAAAAGCCACTCCAGCCTTCTGTTTCCGTGCCGAGATTTCGTCAGTCGCCAGGCTATCCGCAGTGATGAGACTCCCGAGATAAGTGAACCGGTGAACACGCTCGAACGCTTCACTCACTATCACTAGTTCACGTGCCGATGCAAGCCTATCCAGGAGCAACATTGTGCATTTCGAACATGCCTTACATTGTTGTTTGTGGTAGTCAGAAGACTCTGCATTTCGTCAGCGTCTTCATCAAGCAGAATCATGTCATGGGCATATTGAGTCATAAGCGTGTCTCCTGGTAGATGTTCCACCCTAAAAAGTCAGAAGAAGGTAATGTTTACTCTAAAAGCATGTCTATGATCAAGTTAAACAAGAATTAACAGAGTGGACAGCCCTGACGGACAACACTTGAAGTAGTGAATTCGGATGACAGTTCGCCATAAGCTCTAACTCGACAGGTATTGTTTGAGTAGAGGGCCTGTATAACGTTTTTGTACTTCTTTGGCACACCTTTTAGACAGGCACTGCCACAGAACCTCACGATTAACATAGTCAAAAGCCTCTTTAGGGTCGAGAAATTGCACTAATGTGAAACGTCTATACATTTGTGTTCCAGGATCTATCGCATTGTGAATATGTGGTCTATACAGCCACGTCCAGATCGGAAACTACTCTGCTTTTCACGAGCTTACGTTAAGCGTCGTAGTATTCTTGAGGTCGATATTTTCGACACTATGTTAGTATGATTCCTCTGCAATTGTCGCAAGTGGACTTTATTCATTTTCTGTGGATTAGGACAATGAGTGAATGAGACCAGTCAGGTGGGATAACGCCCAGTCCCTAGATTCTATCTAAGATCTCAGTCAATCTAGCAGCTAAAACTGGACCACCATCCCTAAAAATCTCATGGGCAAGCCTTTCAGGGCCTTCTGCTCTTCCTCGTTTCATGGCCTTCTCAACTTCATAAAGACTCGGAGTACATACAGAGATTCGCCATCCAGGATGAAGTGTGGCTGAAAGCATGTTGAATTGATCCCTAAACTGTTCTCCCCATTGATTCAATCTTCTGATTTGAGAATTAATCATACAGTAATTCTTTTCCGCCATAAACTCGCTAATAGTTGGATTCCTAATACCGGTTGCTTTAACAAGTCTGAATAGTTATCTACTGTGACCTATCGCCGCAGCCATCTCTATCGCTATTGCTTTCACCTATCCAACACTGTTCAAGATCATTGTGTATGCTTCTTATCAGCCGGTGCTAAAGCTGACTTCGCTCTTCGTCATGTTCAGAGTTCGACGGGATGCGTTTCGAGCGTCTATCATTTCGGTGGAGGCTACTGAGATCCACGGCTTCTTCCTAACCTTCTGCTTTAGCTTACTGGCAGATATCACTGCTGTTTCCACAAGTTTTCGGATATCATTCCAAACTGCCTCTGTGGTCATCACAAATTATTTATGCTCGACAGAAATGGAAATAACTCCGAAGAAAAGATCATGAAGAGAAATAAGAAATGTTAAGCCATAAGTCCGCAGATAGCTTGCTTTATGCAAATGGTGCTATCTGTCTCAAGCACTAAAGTACATGAAATTCCAGTCCAAGTTTAGCAATCGTTGAGTTCTGGTGGATTCCATAATGAATTCTTTCCAATAGATTTTCACTGAATTGGCAATGGAAACATAAAAACCGAAAGTATACCAATATATCGGGTTACGGAAATCGTCAATGTATTGGTTTCATATTACGGACTAATCTCGGTTAAACAACCATTAGAAACCACACAGTCTTGAACTATTGCTTCACTTTGGCATGAGTTAGGAACTTCCTGCTCCTTTTATCAACTGACTGAAGTAACATGAATTAATTTGGCAGCAGCGGTTTGCGAAAATCTAATCTCTCTAGAACTAACTAACAGTAAGAAACAATGCAAGTGGTCAGAGGCATGGTTTGTTGTTACTCCATAAGATAAGCTTCACGTACACGGAATAATTGACATATTAGAGAAGATGAGAACTCATTGGTCCCTTGATCGATTACGATGCAATGGTATTCAGGGTTCTTCGGACATCCAACAAATTTAGTTCTCCGACTATCAAATAACTTTTCGCATGTTACAGTCTTTACAAATCTCAACACAGTGCATACCATGTTAAACCACTCTGACTTTTGAACACACTGCAAGTTTACAATTAAATTTTGAACGGCACTAAATGAGCTAGAAAAGCATGATATTGGTCACTACTGATAAATCAATCACTTGTAAATATCTACATTCTTTTCCTACAGGGTAATAACGACTCGATTTGCTTAGTAGTTAACACTTCCTGGTTAGAAGCAGCATAGCGCTGGCTCAAACCGACTGAGAAGCTCCAGATCTTTCAAGACCACATATCCGTCTCTCTGTTCAGTGACCGTGAGTATGGAACCTATGTTCAAAATTTTCCGTCAACTATATCTTGGCACCTAACAAATCGTCATCTGTTGTTAGATATTTGACTCACCAAATATCGGATTTGTTGTTATATCCTTCGTACTTCAAAACTTCTGGACTCATGTAATAAGGAGTTCCAATAAACGTAGTTGCCAGTTCCTCCGTCGTAGCCAGAGAACGGGAAATGCCAAAATCACCAACTTTAACATTGCCATTTTTTAAAAATATGTTACTGAAATCAATAGAATACACAACTTATCTCTTAACAGTTTTTTAAATCCATTTCTTTTATTCAAAACTCAACTCCTCAACTAATTCAGTCATTATGATCAATGCTGCAATTAAGATTGCACATGAATGGCGTTCCTGATTACTACTGAAATAAGATCTCATTTTCAACTAAAGGTTGTATCGCAAGTAGATTGAATTAATTCTCTGGATCCAAATATTTGATGTCAGTCATGAACCGACCGTTACAAATACATTGGAAACCTGAGTGATTCATATTTTTCGTAAAAACCGTTTGCTAAAATAATCTTGTAGAGAGGAGTATGCATTATATAAATGAGAAATGAACTCAAATACAGCATTACTGAAAACAACATGCCATTGAATACATTTTCTTCGTATTCAGTATTTTTGGGCTCACTATTAATCGCCAGCAAACTTCGCTCTATGCAAGTCACTTTCAAATGATTTTTAAGGGCTCGGCTTAATCACTTTGAGTTGACATTTGTGCATCATGCGTGCATCTTCTTGCTATAAACAACTGTCGCAAGCTTTTATGGAAGTAAAAGATTTCAGGAAGCAGTGAAATCTGTAACACAGGTACATCCATCCAGCTGACAAGCACCAAACAACAATTCATGGCTTTGAACTACAATGCTATTCACAATCTAGCTCTTCAATAAATACCCTAAAATATCGTTTTTCATTCACAATAAATTATAGAAATATAGCTTACTGTATAACGAGTACATTATCATCAGCTCGAAAGCTAATATATTGTTTTATGTTTTGTTTTCAATCAATTCGGATTAAAAAAAAATGAATTAACACAAACATTCGAAGTGCATAAAATGCCTTAGCTTGTGAGAACCGTAACTGCTACCCTGACTTGTTTTGTAATAATAACATCTGGGTTTATTATAAGGTGTTCTTGATAAGTCAGTCGGTTAGGAATAAATCACCATCCATACACTATTAGAGACCAAGTTTCCGACCTAGATTACCTATAGCTGTATGCTCAAATTCTCCTTATTAAGTAAAAATCTGTAATGCGAAATGCGCAGCCTATAGAAATTAGGCATTATCGTGTCCAAATTAAGATTCTTTTGCACTTCTATTTTTAATTTATCCATCCGTCTCTAAACATTTAATAAGCATACGGTATCCGAACTCCGCTTGTAGCCCTTCTACAGTTATCGTAGGCTTACTAGAAAAAATAATTCTAACTGTTTAACCATATCCTGAGAGTAGGAGGGTTTTCACTAGGAAGAGTTATGACGCCTCATGATGAAAGCCGAGTTTCTTTGTAATTCACGAGGCCAATACCCCTTCTCCTACCCAGAGCAGCTATCGGCAAATGTAAATGAAACAAACCAGATTCCAGATCATGAAGAAATTAGGAACAATTGATGTAGGTGAATAAGACACATCAAGGAAATCACCCTACAGTATCACAAGCAAGCCCTTAATCAGCGTTTCTAAGGTCAAACGAAAAAACGTAGACCAAGGAACTTAGTGTGCCGAACATTGGGGACAGACATGAAAATAATGGACTGTAATTGGTTATAACTAGGACGGAAGGCCCAAGACAGAGTTGGTTAGAGATTGTTGGTTGATGGCCTATGCTCCATTAGGGGTAAAACTTGTAAGTGAGTAAGCAAGTGCGGTATCCAGCATATTCAGGTATTTTTCTGTTCGTTTGACGGCTGAGTACGGCATATGAGGGTGTAATTTTTAGTTGAAACTTTATTTCGAGTACCTGAATTTACCTACATTTGTAGGTATTAACACGTCAATGTGGTGCATCCCAACGTGTTAAAACCTAGGGTACAAATATAGCAAAAGCCAGAGCGTGAAATTGGAACCTCCAATAAACTTCATTTACTCACCAAGTTAACATAAAATGCCAGATAAAGTTGGATACTATACACTCATTTGAACATTGAAAAATGAATGAATAAACCCATACAATTTCAGTTCATTAAGCAAAATGACTTTGTTCGCTTCCTTTTCTAAAACCATAACTTTAAAAATCAGTACATAAACTACAATTTCAAACTAAATGTATTGAAAAGAAATCAAAAAACAACCTTGTTTTTAAGTCCCTATGGAGTATTTTATTTTTATGCATATAAACTGTGGCCAAAATAAGTTGTACAAGCCATTTTCCAATAACATTCTCACTGATATGTTCTCCTTTACTCTTCGTTTGATTTATATAATTGGTTAGGTCACCTCCCTATCATGTTTTAATGGTAAAATCAGGAAATAAAAGACGAACATTTAGTCAACATACATTTTTTAAGATTAAATATGTTGGGTTTGATTTTTACGAAGAATAATTATCATTGTTTTCTTTTCTAGCAATCAGATGAAGGGACAAGTTGATGAAATATGTAATTCTCTAAGTAAAATCAGACATGGTAAAAACAAAACGTTAATGAGGACTCCAGGGTATGCTTTTTTAGTCTATACCCACCTAGATAATTAAGATTAAATCACAAAATGAAAAATGTTAATCTTCACTGAACAAAATATGTAAGAACTGTGATCAGTATATTTTGAAATAGTCTCCTTCTTAATATACAATGTAAAATGAAGCAAAGGCAGATTAAACTGCTAAATTATTGGTAATTTTGTTATTCGGGAATTTTACCTACTAAAATGAAGTACGTTTGCTAATTGAATTCCCAAAGTACGAAAACCGAGTATCAGATGCACTGAAAAAATCTCATTACTGAGAGTAAATCCGCACCTTGGTTAAATCTTGGTAATAATGTTGCTATTCTGGCTCAGCATATTTTTTACTTGCTAATTATCTGCAAGCTATTGAAAATTTGTAGGTTTAAAATATCAACTAAAGCAGTAAATAAATCATCATCTCGATCTTTGAGAATAGTAACTGTTATTTGACAATTATGTTGTATTTTGTAGAATGAAAGAGTTGAAACAAAAAACGTCCCTGAAACTAGTAGCAAAACAGTTCATAATAATAAAATTTTGACACTGCACTGGAAAGAAAGACAAATTACTGTAAAACGACGTTCAAATCAACGGTTTATGACGAAACTAGTCATGAAAAATTTTTCTGAATTGTCAGGCCTATTAGTAACCGTGTACCGGCAAGTAGCTGAATTCCAGAAGGATTTATCAAAGTTCCATTTGAAGGGTATGAATTATAAAGTCGACCATGCTTGAAATACCATCATACCTCGTAAATCACATTGAATGCACTTTCTTCAAGGAATTAAACTGCCTTAATTTGAAGATACAAATCAATGAACACAGATTCAACCTCTTGAATATGTTTAGGTTGATGTAAAACTGAAATGTCGTGTATGAAAAAATTGTGAGGGCCCTAGTATAAATTGCTGAGATTAAAACCAGGATAATAAGCCAATCAAATTCTCCATGGCTTATAACGGATAACTGTTTGGGATGGTATTTATTACGGAATGATTGAAAACGTTCAGGTCACCTTAGCCTTAGAAAGTAGAGTATAAACTAACATGCAGGACAGAAGTATACATAAGAGGCCCAGTTGATTTCATTCAGTGTAATTCATAAAAACAATCTAAGCTTATCTAAAAAAATTTAATAATCTAAAACTTCTTCACATAGATATTGGTTTAGGTTGCTTAGTTAAGGCAAATGTCTTACCCCACTTTTTCTAACAAATCACAGCGAACATTGATACGGTTTAAACTGCTACGTTGTTTCAAAGGCACTGTTTGCTATATGTGTTGCCTATGCTATCGGTATTCATTTTTTAGCGACATACTTAAACAGTGTTTGAGATACTAAGTTTAGTTTTGTAAACTTTCCAACGTGACTATTGTAATTATCTTGAGTATACAGGTTCGATTGTTTAATCATCTGGCGAATAAATACATATATCCAACAAGATATACACAAAGTTTTATTGACATATAAAACTCGTATGAAATGAAAAATGCTTTGAATACATTGGTATCATCCATTCATAATTTTAATTAACTACGCTACAGCTGGTTTACAGTTTCTTCAGTTTTCCAACGCTTATTCACTTTCAGCTACTAGGGTATGTTTCAATGAAATCTAGCGATCTTAATACCATTTTATACGATCGATGCCATTACTTATTTCAAAAGTATAATCACTTCTATCTACGTCGTCGGAATTGGATAGTGACGTATCCTATTTTTACCATTTCATTTACTTGAAGCGTCGCAAAACTTCTCAAAGTTCCGATGTGTTGTGAAATAAGCTAAAGTTAACATCTAACGAACTTAATTTCGTTAATACATACATACATTCGTAGCTAGTTTAAATCAAATATCGGCGATCAAAATATTGATTCGAGCAAATAAGGTTGTTATCAGACGACAAATGGAGGCGTTACTTGAGATTTTTGGAGCACAACAATGTTTTTAGTAACTTACAGATCGTCTGGCTAGTAAGTGAAATTTGGGTATTCAGTTCAGCTAGCAAGACATCCTATCGCATTCTTTCCAAGTCGATCAATGTTTGGGTAAAACTATAAAATATTTCAACGTGAATCAGTCGAAAATGTCATCAGTGAACTATTTGTTATCCATGTGACACAAAGATCAAGCTTTCACTTGTTCATTTTATACCATTTACTGTTAGCAAAATGCGACAGCCAATTTCTGACAATATCATTTAAAATTAATCGTGTGCTATGTTTATACTAAATCAGGTTATATCTTTGACTCAGACCGATTGGTTCAATCAAACATTTCCCTTATTTATGAAGATTATTATTTCATAAACTGATATGAGTATCACTGAATGATCCGAGTGATTATGTGAACTTTTATTTTCATGTGCTATGCACGATATCTTACGAATTCTATCGTTCCTCTTAGATAAATGTTCACTTGATTACAACTTAATCTACCTTAACAATTCATGATTATTCTATTTTGAAACGTCCTTCACTACATTTGTAGTCAATTAATGAAAGTTCTAAGAAACATTCTCCCAATAGAGGCACCTAAAGATCTTGCTCATAACTGATGCAACAAGACTCGACTAGTAAATTTTCTTGCAACGAGACTCTAAAGAAATTTCTATTTCATAATAGCCACTCACAGAGGCATTGAATGTTGATTTCAAAAGCCGTTAAGGAAACAACCACAACTGTCAAAATAAAGAATCTTATGACCAGAATAACAATTCGGAATTAATGAAATGCGGCAAAACACCACCATTCGACCTGGTTATACTTTGACGGACCTTGGTATCATAATAATACTATGCACTCAAGAATTATCTTGTCTTTAGTGAAGTCAAACAGTATTTGTGAGGAGATAGTTGACTTCCTATATGAATTGGAGTTTGAACATTAGAGAACTAATCTGCAAATACGACAAGCCATATACTGGAAATTCAATTTGGCTCAAACATTCTGAATTTACTGAAAAAGACTGTAGACGGTATCTTAGCCCACTGAGATAAGGAGAGAAAAGTGGGCGATCTATAGCACATTAGATGTCTCTCTGTTTACCACTTAGCTCAGTGAAATACCCATAATGTTTATAATCGGGAAATATCATAAACAAGGGTACTACAGTGAAAATACTTACTTCACAATATTCTGATACAATGCAAAACCTATTTTTTTCAACAAAGCTTTCATGAATGCAGAGTATATACGGATGTTTTAAACTCGATAAAAGATAAGCTTCCTTTTCATAATCTTTCTGAATTGTCGGTGAACTATCATCAAGTCTTATGCACTTCAAAGCTTTCAAAACTCTACTGATCACGGTCCATTCAAAAAGGTCATTAATTACGTGCAATTTCGATGTTCATGTAAGTCCTCCACCAAGTACGTTTTTCCGCTAGCACCTTTTCCAAGCTTCTTTATCACAGCATACCGACTTTTAAATACGTTGGTGCTTCCTCCCTTCATTTCATGCTTTGAATTTGCTCTCAGGTCGCCGTTACTATGACAATACAATATCCAATATGGTTTTCGGGCATTAGTATTGGCAAATTTGATTTCTTTGTGCTCGATTCTTGTTCTTTGGCTACGGTTCCAAGTACTGAGTAGTTTTTAGTGGATGTTGGTCTAGCGGTCAGAGACAATCGCCATCACATACACCTTACGTAAATCGCTTTTCGTGCCTTACATTCAAGTCATGAACAACTCTACAGAAGCGCCTAAAAATTCGAGCTTTTTCGATGGCGATTTACTTGCTTCTATATGAACCTAAGTTTGGATCCAGTTCTAAACAAATGCCAACAGATCACAGTTGTTTGGCTAACGTTTCGTGGATTTCAATCATCGTTCCTGAAGATATTTTGGTGCTTCACCAGTGATGCCAAACGCTCGTCAAGGGAAGTTAAGCTCAAGGCTTGTTGAGGCTCAAGGGGCCAAACTGAATGATGGATTCTCTTCGATAAAGCAAATGCCTTTTGATGTCATTATGTGTTATGGTTCACACTCAAATAAGGATAATTATCATGATAGTGATTTCAGTCATAACTCGATGTCAGAGAACATAAAAAATCTTGGTTTAGATGAGAAGCTTATAGTACCTGGAAAGAGCGTAATGCCTTTGGCCACTGATGTAGGTCTAGAACTATCAAGGCCTAAGTCAAAGAAATGGATCAACAACTCGAAGGAAGTAAGGACTATCTTGCTTGATGTATGTAAAGAAAAGTGTTTGATAGAAATGTCAATGAGTTACTATGTCACTCATTGAACTCTAGGTGTAGAATGAGATTTCAAACGCGATGTATTTAAATTTTACTTTGGTGCACCGGAAAGGCCTCTGACAAGGAGAGGGATTTTATCTGTTGTTTCGTCCCTGTTCTATCCTTTGGGTCTAATTGCTCCAGTCTGCCTTACTGCCAAACTTCCCTTGCAAAAATTATGTAAATCCCAAATAGGATGTGATCAGCCTCTCAACGAGCCATGCTTGTCCACATGAATTTTGTTCTTCAGACAGATCCTGTTACGGTAGCTCTAGGTATCAAGAACAGAATCGATTAACCTGATATGAAAGTAGAATTGCATTTATCCTATGATGCCTCGCATATTGGTTATGGAACAGTTGTTTACGCGCGAGTTAGTTATTTGAAGGAACTACCATACTGTATCTTGTTGTGCAGCGAGTCTAGAGTAGCACCTTTCAAACAAGTCACTATGCTGAGGCTTGAAATGTTAGCAGTGGTTTTAAGTGTGTGACTCAGTAAAGTTTCAAGTAGGAGATTTTCGCAACAGCTGAATCAGCAGAAAATAAGTAATGAATTTTGAGCCAGGCAAATTCAATGGCACTTCAACTTCAAGCCACAGAGATGGAGTTTGGGAACGGATGACTAGATCTATATGATGGCTTTTATTATTGATCACCCCAGAACAGACGTTTACCGAGGAGAATTTATGCACCTATTTGGTTGAAATTGAGAGGATATTGAACGACTGACCCTTAACCCAGCTGTCCAAGATGCGAACGACAAACTATCTTTGTCGCCAAATAGTTTGCTGTTATTGACATAATGTGACGGAGTAACCGAAGAAGGTAGCATCTGAGAAAAATATGACAGACAGTGAAAGCAGGTTAATTATGTAGCTAATGTGTCTTGGAAAAGTTGGTGAAGAGAATATTTGCCGTCCCTACAAACACGTCAAAAAATGGTTAGTGGATCATCGCAATTTCCGAGAAGGAGACGTAGTAATCGTGGCTTCGGATATTTCGATACGTGGAAAGTGGCCTTTAGGAATAGTTGAAAGCTGTGAAACCGATAACGACGGAAAGGTTAGGACGGTAACTCTTCATACAAAAGGCGGATTACTTGGGAGGGATAGACGTAAGGTATGTCTGCCTGAAGGTTCCTTGTTATATCCGTGTAGGAGGTTGGGCTATGTCCTACTCGTTCCTCTAGTGTAGATTATGCTATAGAGTGAACCATAACCAAAGGCATCGAATGGGCTTTGCTTTGTATGAGGGGATTTTGCAAGCCAGTGTAAGATTCATTTTTGAAGGTTTTGTTTGTGAAAATCCCTCTATGTATACATCAGTAATTTGTCGTTAATTATTTCTTTTAGTTGTACATTTTGTTAGTCTGTTCGATCACGTTTGTGATAATAATATTTATATTTCATTGTAGTTTCGATTCTTTGTTCCTTTACTGAGTTTCCATGTTTCTTTCTGAACTGAATTCATGTTGTTTAAGCTGATACTTAGTCATGGCGACCGCCATATTGATTTGTTCCTCATATGATTGTGCCGCTTACATTAATTGGAACTGTGCATTTTGATTGCGAATTGGAGCACTCTTCCAGAATAGGAAACATTCTGCGTTATAAAGCGACCAAAGGAAGGAATCTAATCTATCCAGAAAGGATAGAATAATATTTATTTATTGCAGTTTATTTTAATTACTGGACAGTCGTTGGTGGAATAAGTGAGTGGTAATATTTGTTTAGGTAATGATGTGTATTTATATTTACGGTGAATATCAGAGCTGTCTTTTACCCATATCTTATTGTTTTGGTTTCAACTTGCCAAGGTGCGTATCTAAACTAGCTAGACATTTATTCCTCAGTCCAAACCTCAGTTTGGATCTTACATTATTATTACTATTACCAATATCATAATATGTTATGCGACCGTAACATCCCACTGTCAGTATGAGGATCCCTGTCTCGAGGCTCCATTTTTTCTCACTGTGATTTCTTTTATCTTTTACAACCTTACCTTCATTATGAAGTATTCCTTGAAAGACAATAATTACCATCAGCACAAGAGTTACATATTTAGGTTCATTATGAAGTTCCTTATATGTTGAAACTACCTTATTTGATGAAGGAAAAATACGTAGTTCGATACTTTCGTGGAATAATTTTTTTATTTGTGGTTAGCCTATTACACCACTATCGCTAAGGTTCCTAATCTTAACAGTCGCACGTTGTTCGCGGTGCGCAAAATAACTATGTGACTTTTGGTAACATATATGGGCTGTTTGTAAAATATGAATGACGCATAGCTATTATTATGAAAATCGAATGGTTTAGTAATGATGTCCTCAGTGTCACATAGTTGTTCACGCTCTACACACAAGAACATCAGTATCACCTGGAGTGGCAATTGTTCGCGTTATTAGTAAGCTCTTTCTATTGGTTCTCGGTCAGAATTCATTTTGGATTGGCGATTTATTTTACTAATCAAATAAGTATCCCATCTAATTTCCATTCATTACATTCAAGTTGACTCTGATTGTACAAGGTCGATAACGGGAAATCCAATATATTTTATTTGAATGAGTTTGTTTCAAGCATCCTTGTACTAAGATATACACAAGACTGAAATGCTTTTGGGAAAAGCGATTTGGAGATTGTGAGTGGACCAATTCCAATTGAGGAGACATAATTACTTATTCAGACTTAGAAAAAAGGAGGATAAACAAGATATGCAAATTGAGTAATGCGACCAATGTTACAACCGAACAACCCGATAATTGAATAACGTCTTCGAAAGAATATATCTAATTACTTGTGCAAAAGCTATAACAGGCCACGTGGACTCAACATACTGATATATATATATATATATATATATATATATATATATATATATATACTGGTAATCACTTTCAAACAATTTAAGACATGTGCCAGGGTAACTTTATTCGTCAAAAAATTTGATGGCATTCATGTCATGATTCGACAGATACATTTTTTGAATTAAAGATTAAAGACCTGGTCATTCACACCTTCATTCTGTATTGAGTCACTTACTGCGTATTCCACTTCGGTAAGTTAATCAAGTAAATTCACTACTAAGATAATGAATAGGTATATGATTGTAGGAATGGAGGAGATTTAAAAGAAATAAATTGTTAAAAATGTGGAGACGTACAAAATATAATAAGGAAGGGGCAGTGACTGGATGGACTAGTGATAAGCCACTTATTGTCTTTTTACCACCGTTCTTTAGGTGGCTCCTTTTCAACTTCATTGCCCAGGTTAGCTTGTTATAGGATTTCATTGCAGTTACTTAAACCGGTTCAAGGTTACAAACAAGAGTCACGGCTATGGTTGATATGGAAACGTAACATTGTTATCGTTGATTAGGACCTGTAAGTGAACAAAATGTTCTACCTCATAAACGTGGGTGGTTTCAGGTTACCGCCTCACAATCATGAATGTTGGTTCCATACACTACTTTATTTGAAGAGCTTAAGTTTGAGATAAATTATGTGAGTTTATGAAGCATTTGTTTGTGTCTGCCTGAGTGTATGATGAACTCACCATATTTCCTTCCTTCTGAACCCGCTCTATTTGTTGCACGCCTCGAAGCTTGCTAGTTTTTTCGTCATTGTCACTTCTCAAAGTACTGCTTGAATTTATATCACTTGTTATCTCCATTTCCTCCCATTTGCTCACACTTCCATACTCTAGCACAAACTTCGCTACCAATCAGTCGAATTATTTATTTACTCAGTTCTGAAATTTTTCGCCTTATCAGTCTGTTACAGTCCAATGACCGATCTGAGGCAGTATAAAATGACAGCATCTTGTACACAGAACCCCTACTATCCTCAAAAGTACTCGTTTAAAACATTAGACACACAAATGAGCGAACAGCTGCCAAATCAATAGAATTGGTGGAATCGAGTTGGGAGACTAGAATCCGCAAGACACTACCAAATACCTGGAACCGTACTAAAAGAACAAGAATCTAGCGCAAAAGAATTTCGAAAATGATACGACCTCGTTGCCCTCCCACCATTTCCCGGGAACAATTCAGTTTTTGACATCGGATAATGATATTTAATCATTCACAAAGGTTTAGAAGTTGTTTCTATTTGTTGGTCGACAATCTGAGTACTAATTAATAATAGTAATGTGTTTACTGTTAAATAACAGTGTCACAAGACGCATGCCAATTTAAAGGTTAGATCAAATTTTTACAATACTAC